CCTCCCGCCACCGGACCTCAACGCGTGGCCGCGCCTCCTCAGCCTCCTCGACGTCGCCTTCTTCCTCCCTCCCTCTCGGCATCTCCCTAGTTTAGCAGCGGCACAGGGGCACAGGTCGACAGCTCCCGGCTCGGTGGCTCCCCGGCGGCGCGGCGGCTCGGGGCCTCCATGACGGCGAGGTGGCGAGGAGGAGGTTGGGCGAGGAGCAGCAAAAGCGTCCGCTCACCCCTCCCTCTCTACTCCTCTGTGATGTGATTTATTTTATGATTTCCACCTCTTCTCTCTAATTGGATCGTCTCCTATCCTGGATGATTTCGATTGGATTAGGATTGGGATTTAGTTTTTGGGTTAGATTTACAATGGTTTGGGATTGGTTGTGGGTGCATTGATAGATGAATCGGAGGGAGGAGGTCCGCTACTAAGACGGACGAAAATCCTGATTTGTGCGGTTCATTTTCTCTTCCTCTACGTTCTATGTCCGATTGGATTTTGTATCGATCCTTCTTCTTTTTTTTTCACCCTCTTGACGGGGTTTTTTGTTTTTTATCGCCCTTTCTTACCGGCTTTTTTTATAGATTTTTTTCTGCGTCAAATTGAATCGGACTTTCCTTTTTTGTTTTAATGTTTTTTTCACCTCTGTTATTACGGACAACGGAAACGTTTTCAATTTTTTTAAGTAGTAGAGAGTAGAGATGTGGCATAGCTCTAGTTCCAACTTCATCCTTTTTGAAGCTGGAGCTCAACGAAACAGATTCAGTTTCATCTAAAATGAGAGTGCAGTTGGGTGAAACATTCTCACAAAATTAACTAGAGAGGTGGAGCGGAGTTTAGGCTGCTCTGCAACTCTATTCTAAACTCAGCTCCTAGAGCTAAACTTAGGAGTTTGAGCTCTACCAAACAGACACTAAATTTAGCTCTAGAAGTTGGATCTGGAGTGGACCTGTGGAGCACTGCCTAAACCTAGCTCTACCTTGCTAGTTCTTTTGAGAGAGCGCTCCACCTAGCTCCGCTCCCATTTTAACTGGAGTTGAAAAATTAGTAGTAGTAGCTTCTTTCGTCTCTACTACTTCCCAATCAATTCAGATTTTTATTTAGATTCTGTGAATCTACAAAACTAAAAATTAGAAGCTAAAAAATCTAAGTTTTCTAGATCCTCACAAGCTAGCTATCACCTAGTTGCTTCTCATAATTTTAAACTCCCCTAAACAGGTGAATGATTGTAGGGTTCGTGCTGATAGTCGCTTTTATAGGGCCCGCTCGTTGGCCACTTAGAGGGAGAACTGAAATAAACAGTAGTAATTATCATTATCCTCTCAATTATAAGAATGTGTTTTGGAGATTGAAAAAGAAGAAGATTAAGAAGGTACAAAGAACGAGATGAGTCATGATTTAGGTGGTGCTTGGATCCAGAGACTAAACTTTAGTCCCTATCACATCGAATGTTTGGACACTAATTTGGAGTATTAAACATAGACTACTTACAAAACTAATTACATAAATGAGAGCTAATTCGCGAGACAAATTTTAAGCCTAATTAATCCATAATTAGATAATATTTACTGTAGCATCACATAGGCTAATCATGTATTAATTAGGCTCAATAGATTCTTCTCGCGAATTAGTCCAGAGTTATGGAATGGGTTTTGTCATTAGTTTACGTTTAATACTTCTAATTAGTGTCCAAACATCCGATGTGACAGGGACTAAAAAGTTTTAGTCACATCCAAACACCCCCTTACTAACTATTTCAAACTTAAAAAGTGTATTAATAGGATTTTTTTAAAGCAACATTTCTATAGAAACTTGAAAATGCACCGTTTAACGGTTCGGGAAGCGTGTGGGCGAAAAATGAGAAACTTTTATCTTCCTTGTGCTTGTCTCAAACACAGCCTAAGGACCCATTTGAAACTCCTCAATAGCACATGATTAATTAAATATTAGCTATTAAAAATTGATAAATATATTTATTTGATATTTTCTTAAGAGACTTCTATATATAATGTTTTTTAAAAACACCGTTTAGCATTTTAGAAAGCCTAGAAAGAGCCATTTTGGATCAATTGATACCAAAAAAAATGTTATTTATTATTTTGAAAATTAACACCCATTTTATTTAAATGAAAAGCATAGGAATTTTGTAGTATTTCATTTATATAGATTTTTTTTTCAAATGGCCCTTTGATATTTCAAAGGACTAGACATTGTTGAATCTTATGGAATTCATATATAATGCCTCATTCTATGTTTGTTTTGGAGAAAATTCAACATGAGGTCTAACCCTATGTAAAGTTTTCTTTATATTTATCTATCTTCAAATTCATTTGATCTAATCAAACAGTCATTTCCTCTCTTTTTCTTTTTCCTTTTTATCCCTGTCTTTTGCAATCGCTTGTTGTACTTCTTATTCGTGTCAAAATCATGTATTTTTTTATATCCATCTACTTTCCCAATTCTGCATTTCAGAAGAGAGCTAAATGTTAGTGTGATTGGTTTGGATTAGAACAAAATCATTGGTAATACCCATGCTCTGTTTGGGAACACTTTATAACTTTCCAAACCATATCAAACATACTGTCTGAACTCCACACTAAGTAATTAGTAGGTCCAGGGAAACAAATCTAACATAGAGTATTTTTTTCAAAGTGAAAGAAAATCAAGGTTTCTATGGAAAACTTCATCAAAGTCCAAAGCTAATGGAATTTAGCTCCTTTGTGCCTTGAGCCTTGAGACTGAGCTCCCTGCCACTATATTCAAGTCTTGAAGAAGATCTTTTATTGCCTCCACAACAACACAATCGAATGTGAGGGAGATCTCAGAAATAAGATAGCAATGAGAATCATAATACCATAGGTTGAGTTGAGGAGGAGAACTGAGGAAGATGAGTCCTTTACAAGAAAAAGCAATATAGAGGCAAAAGAAGACATAAAAAAAAATCAATCGAATCTTACCTTTGGTAGATCCCCTCCTCACTTTGAAGTGAATCGACATTTGAGATGCCCTACATTTCGCTCGAAACTACCTTTTTATTTCTTGCTTTACCCAAAATACTAATATTGAAATTAAAGAATGTTTTCCTACAATTCATGTTAGGTTAAACCAGACCAACTAATACTAGACTATCATATTAAAGCTATATAAATCGAAACAAAAGCCATCAAAAAGTAAAAGTTGAGTAAACAAAAATAGGACAACATGGCCACAAAGTTAAACCAAGCAAAGAACCATGGATGATGCATGACATCATCTTCTCTTTGGCACGTTCCCACAGGTCTCAACTCTCAAGGTGACTACACTAGGCACAAAGGCCTCAATCCCTGATGTTGGTCTGAGTGGTGTTTGGTTGGTGCCCTGAAGTGAAAGGACTTTGATGTCGCCTAGAGTGGGGGGGTAAATAGGCATTCCTAAAAATTATCATATCTTCATAGCATATTAGAATGATGGGAACTTTCAATTCAAATTGAAACTTCCGGTACGGGATTGTAAGTTCCGGTCTCAATCAAAAAGTTTGGAGAATAACAGAATAAAACACTAGCTATGAACTTATAGCTCGAACAAACAAAATATATATGGATCAAAAGGTGACAAACAAGGTATCCAAGCAAGATATAAGGTCACCAACTATATCAATTAAGCATACAAATAGATCAGGTAAAACCAAGCTCAAACATAACACGAGAGAAGGCAAGAACGAGCGAACCAAGAGAGGAGACGCGTGACTTGTTTCCCAAGTTTGGATCCACGGATTACGTCTTCGTTGAGGGGCCACAAAGGCCGGGTCTCTTTCATCCCTTTTCTACATGAGGTTGCACAAATGCACTCCTCGATTTCACTCTTAATTTCTTCCCTTGCAGAGACGAAATTGAAGCCTTCACAAACTTTTTGTGGCACACCACAACCTTCGGTGCTCATTGGCGACCTTAGTCCCCAAGAGTAACAAACACAATCGAAAATTTACTTGCTATGTACTCCAATGCTCAAAGTATAGAGTGAAGCTCACTAGCTCTCAAACTCTCTTCCCAACTCTCTTCTCTTCTCAAATCTTACTCACAAAGATCTACCACTTAGGCTGGAGATTGGAGATGGGATATTTGGCTTTGGATATATCTATTTCATGCCTAAGAACAACAGCCACTCAAGGAGGGGATGGAGGCGTTTATATACCCGAGCCTATCAAAACTAGCCGTTTGAGGCAAATATTCCATTTTTCGGAACTTTCGAAATGCATTTTCAAAAATATCCGAAAAACACTAGAGAGCAAACCTGAGATTTCTGTCTTTTTCGGAATTTTTCAAAATCCAAAAAACACGAGAGAGCAAAACTAGAATTTCTATCATTTTTGGAATTTCCGAAAACACCAAAGAGTAAAACAACCATAACTTTTTTCTCGGGAGTCCCTTTTTTATGATCTTGGACTCTATGGAAAGCTCACTTAGAAGACTACCAACTCAACCAGAAGCAAGGTTTAAAACCACTCAAAGGATAGGTTAAAGTTTGGCTTTCTCTCAAGGTAGCACTAGGATAGGTTATTTTGAACACTGAGATATACACAAGCACAACAACATTGCGTCCCTATTAATAGTACGATATTCTTATACTCAAATATAAATAGGAAAATAATTATACCAATAGGAATGCCTTTATACCATCTTCCTTTCTTTGTCTTAAGGGATACCAACGCTAAAACCGTTTCACCGTATCCTATATACCTATACAAGTCATCCCCACTAATTCTATTTTCCTGCTCTCTCGCTTTGCCACATCACTATCGATTTCCATCCGTTGGATCACTCCACTTCAACCGATCAGGTTGCTTTTAGCCTGCCTCAGTTCTTTATTCATGGATGGCTCCCAAATACTCGGCCCAGCCCAGCCCACATGCCTGCCGCTCCCGCACCGGATTGGCTCCCTCTCCCGCATCACGCTACTGCCACCCCCACCGCATGTCTCTCGCCGTATCGCATGCCCTCCCTCCCCGCATCGCACTTCTCCACCTTCCCCGCCGCATTTCTCGCACCCCACCCCATCCCCTTCCTATCTCGCATCGCGCTTTGCCAATCCCGTCGCATCGGCGCCGCACGGCCCTCCCTAGGTCTGTTTCGCCTCCCTCCTCCCAGTGCTAGCCGCATCGCCTTCCTCGCCCCATCCTAAGAGAAACCTTCGCCGCCCACTAAGAGCAGACTTATGATTGCCATTAACGCGTTAATTTCATTCGCCTCTAATTAAAGCCATGGCGATATCATTGCGGGCCTTTGCTTATTACCGACGAAGTTCTCCAGTCCATACAGAAGCAGAAGCAGAAGTAGGTTCTTGGTTGTTCTCCACGAACTGCTTGGTTTCATATGAATCTTCATTGCATAGGTACATATTATTGGATTGGTTTAAACTACAGTGATCGTTTTGTAGCTTTATTTTCATGCCTTTGAATCTTTCATATCTACCGAAGGTATTTGATGGTGTGGTACCTACTCCTTCCTTCTGAATTTGTTATGTGCCTCCTGTGGATTTTCATTCAGGAAAGATCAATCCGTATGTGCTTCCTTTTCAATTTGACCTATCATCTCTTTGGCAAATTCATGAATAAGTAGCCTTCACTGTACTCGAGGATTATTGGGTGCAATTGGATTCAATCTTAACAAGGTCTGTCGTCTTACGACAGCTTCTTTTCGGTGGATCTCCCATCTGTACTAAACACACCCTATTCTCCTCCTCGCTCAGTAAGTATGACATTTTATTTTGCCTTAGACTCTCATCTCTTGGTTTTGTTAGGTATCATATCCGTATCTTCTATCTGAAGATAAGGGAATTTGTTGATTTTTCATGACGGACCTCACAACTGATTGTATAAGTTCCATTGTATTCCTGTACGTTTATTCGAGGATCCAGAGTATTCAACTCCGTTGTGTTCCTGCCCGTATCGAGGATTCCAGGTAATCAGATTTGCTCAGATTCAATCAGCTTTGTTCTAATCAAATTTGCTCAGATTCAATCAGCTTTGTTCTTGCAGATTTAATTGGTTATTCATCCACAGTTTATCCTTATGGTCTTGCAAATCCAACATGGAAGAATTAAACATCTTACAGGTATGTTCCATCTTAGAATCAAACTGACGAAAGTTTTTCCCTCAGCACTTTCAGTAAATTTTGTCATGTTACAGGTTTGCAGTGAAGACACAAGAAGACTGGGGAAAATACATTTAACAGCTTGAAATAATTGAAATTTTATTATATTCTTTTCCCTGCTTGAAGTGATTGTTGCAGTATTCATCTTTGTTCGTTCAAATGCCCTTCATAGAGAATGTTCTTCACGTTTCTTAAAAATGGCCTTCCCCTGCTTGAAATTTTATTATGTTCTTCACGTTTGTTCTGGCAAAAAAAACTGTACTCAAACAAAATCATTGTATAGAACAGAGAATGGTCATGATGTGCATTTGTTAAAAGCAAAATCTAACAAGACGCGTACAGTTTCTAATCTTACAAACCAATATTTAAGTAAACAAATTTAATTCTTGGGCACTATATACATGGCACGAACTATTCCAATCATGCTTCAACTTTAGGTGGAAGCTAGGCACTTCTTATACTTTTGAAACTTAATATTCCACTAATGATCCGCATGTTGAAGGAAAACTTACACCTATGATCGGTCACAAGTGTCATCTTACTTATTTTATTCCAAGAGGAAAAATACTATCTTATACATAAAAAATCGCTCAACATTCTAGACAAAAAACTTATTATGTCATGTAAAAAATAAAAGAAAAATATTGCCTATGTTTATGGATGTGCATATACTATAATAGTATATACATATGTTCACTTCATATGTCAGTAGTGGCCACACATGCAGTACAATCATCTTGAGCTAAAAATTACCATGTGCTCCCGCAACATCACGCAGGGTATATTCTAGTATTCTTTAAAGATTGATGCGTGCTCCTTGTAGCTTCAAATGGCCTTGCACGGTCCATCAGACATAGTCGTCACTCGCCCTTCACCACTGGATTTGGTCCTTCGGTGCCAAGCTCCTTGCTTGCCTTCACCACCGCATGGTTCATCGCGGCGAGCATCACTTGGCCTTCACCGTCTTGCCACTTCGTACCCCACTTTCCAATAACTTCACTTTGTTATTCTTGATATCATTAGGTGTCATGATCTCTATCGAGTATCAGCACATTTTCCAATTCATGGGACCTATTTTTCTTGTTCAACTCAATGTATTTATTAGTCCGAATGATTCGGTTGTCAACCTTCACTTGTTGACCAACAGATCACATGTATAAAAGAATATGAATAAATGATGAGTATTAATCAACACCATAAGTGTCATATACTCAAATGTATGCTCAAATGTAAAGATCCCAATTAAATGAAAGTGAATAATTTGGATCAAATACTTGTATAACATATAGGATTTGCTCCCCTAAATGTATGCATACGGAATATTTATATGAAGCAAGACTATGTATAGATAGATATGAAACTTTGAGATCTTATCTTACATACAAGAATAGAAGACGCTTATCAAATATAGACAATATAAAATAAGAAAAAGTACGAATTACCCCCCCCAACTATCGTGGCCGACCGAATTACCCCCCTAAACCCGAAAACTAGACATCGTTCACCCTGAACTTTCAATACCAGACAATTTACCCCCCTCGACCCAATCCAGAGCAGTTTTGACCTACATAGCGTACGCGTGATAGTCCAATCTACATTTTATTGATAAAAAATATGGGGCCCACCTATCATACTCCTCTTCCACTCTCCCTTCTCTCTCTATCTCTCTCTCTCACTATGAACGAGGCGGCGGCGGCGGCGCGGGATGGACGGATAGAGGTGGGGGCAAGCAGTGGGCGGGCGTGGACAGCGGACACGTAGGCGGCATGCACGGCGCGGTGGAGACCCTCCTGCGCCGGAGGGAGTTCGCCAGAGTTCCCTCCCGCTCCCTCCCGAAGTTCGCCGCTCCCTCCTCTGTGTCCCGCGCCACCACCACCTTCGTGTCCCCCGCCGCCGCCACCACCTGCGCGTCCCGCGTCCCGCGGCGCCACCCATCATCTGTCGCCGACCCGTAAGAGAGAGAGGAAGAGTGATACGACCCAAATAGGGGTGATGTCCCGATCTTCACGGCGTAGGATCAAGAACCAATAACTAGCCTCAAAGAGACGAAGATAACTAGCTGCAAGTAGCCAAGATAACAGTGCAATCTGACGATCGAACTCGAAGCTAACCACCATCTCTACACGGCAACCTAAATCGAGGATTCGCCCAACCACACTAAGTTACCAACCAACACAACCTAGAATCAATCGAGGAAAAATCCTCAAAGGGACTAGGAGCACCAATTGGGAGGCGTCGAACGCCGCTTCTATAATCCCACAAGGAAACCACAAGAACAAAGGGGTAGAGATCTCTCTCTAAATTTGTTAGCACGCAGCTAAACAAAAGGGGTTCATATTCTCATTGTCAAAAGTCTTCTAAATGATAAAACATGTGGGACATTTATACTAGGAACAACCCTCCTGGATGGGAATGAAAGGTCTTAGGAGTTTACTGGACATAGGCTAACTCAAATATCATACTAAGTGAATTCCCGAGAGGAATCGCACATCTGTTTGGCTTCTGAGCAGTCCTCAATGATTTATCCATTACTCCTTATTGGGAAGTCGAAATGACGAACCGTTCGTTTGTTGGAGGTGAAACTATATTAATCACAGGTAGCCAAGTGACGGTAGTGGTTACTGTTATGATTGATAAAATTAGCAAATTTTGGTCAATACCTACAATTAATACTTATAAGACATAATCCAAGTTTATCCGTTCTGAGGCACATCACCAACCAAACAGCTCAACCAGGCATATTCCATCAAAATCTCAGGGAGGCATGTTGCACACGGCAACAACCAAACAGACCCTCAAAATATTTTGGAACAATGCCTTGTCAGAAGTTTGTGGGTGACTACTGGTTATTCTGCGGACTAGTAATCTTACACGTGCAAGGCACGTTTCCCACATTATATTACACTAATCATGTAAAATCACCTAAAGATTATTCTAAATTTTCCACAATATATATCACACTCAACATGCAAACAACCAAAGTTCAAGAATTATTGTAGTGTAAATTGCAATATCTTAATAACTCTTCCGTAGACACTTTCTATAAAAAAAAATGCAAAGCAGAGAATGATACGAAATGTACAATGCTGCCATAGCTTTGATATACACTAAACTCAACTCTATCTACAACATCTAATCGTGAAAAAGGCCTCCCCTATCTCAGTAATAGAATGTCAAATGGCCCCCAAACAATCTGCAATAAAAATATCATTTAAATGATCACCAATAAATACCTCCCGTCGCATCACCAGTAACGAAAACCACAAGCCTTAGTATTGTATACTTGATTAAGATAAATGTTTACTTATTGATATTGATATTCAACAGAACCTTGTTGAATTCTCCAGCTTGGTATTCTACTTTGTAATCTCATGGGAAAAAAGCACTTTGCTTTGCAGCAAAGTCTCAAAGGGGTGTTGTTCCAAGCAGCAAACAACACAATTTCTATGGTTTTTCCTCACCGCCGCTCGCCCGCCACGCCTCCCGCGTCCCCTGCCCCTCTGCTCCGCCCGCGCCCGGAGACGCCGCCGCTCCGCCTGCTCTAGCCGCGCACCGCCCACGCCCAGAGCCGCCACTTGCCCGCCGCCGTGCTCGCCAACCGCTTGCCGCTGCCGCTGCCACGCTCTCCCGGAGACACCGCCGCTCTGCCTGCTCTGGCCGCACGCTGACACTGCCCCTCCGCCTACTCCGGCCGCGCGCTCACCCATCGCCGCCCGCCGTTGGCAAAGAGAGAGAAGAGGAAAGAGAGGAGGAGGAGAGAAAAGAGAAGAAAAAAATGCAGCTAACATGTGGGCCCCATGATTTTTTTTTAATTTTTTTTTCTGACTAGGATGCCACGTTAGTGAAACCACCCACATATACTGCCAAAGGATCTCCGATGAATGGTTTGAATGAATTTAGGAGCGAACATTTCTGGTTTTAGGTTGAGGGACCTCAAAAAATCTCGCTGTTAAGTTGAGGGACCTCTGCTGAACTTATTCCTAAATAATACGAAAAGAAGGCAGGCGACCTAGCCCAAATATAGAAACGGCCCAGCCCAAAGTCGCCTCCACTCCCACTGACCACACCAGGGTTTACGATTCCGGTCGGATTTCGCGAAATTTCGACGTTTCGACAAGGCTCGAAAGTAGAAACCATCTGAGATTTCGAGGAGTTTCATCCAAATTCAAATTTGAATTGATAAAAAAGAAAAAAAATCAAATAAAATCTTATAAATACTATGATATTCATGTAACCTATTGGGATATAAATTTTTTTAAAAAATGAAGTATTGTGTGTATTTATACATCATGAAAGAATAGAATAAAAAATTAAAAAAACACTTACATGGGCCAGATTGCATGAAATAGGCCCAATTACTGATCGAAATTTCGATGATTTCGATCGAAATTTCACCAAAACCGACCGGTTTTTGAGAAATTATCGGTAAACTCAGGGAATTTGTATTCAAATTTTGGTTTATGAAATTTCTTCAGAAGTTACCGGTTTTCCACTTGATTTCGTGAAATTTCGAATTTCACCGGTGCTCGAAACGGAACGGAAGGGCATATCGGTCGTAAACCCTGAACCACACTCATCACCTCGCCCTCCAAATCGCCCACACCTCTGGAACCCCATTCCACCCACCCGCAGCCGCAGCGAGGAGAGGAGAAACGAGAGAGAGAGAAAAAGAAGAAAAAGAAAAATGCTGCGCCACGCCGCCCGCCGCCTGGCCACCACCCGCGCCGCCGCCGCCGCCGCCGCCGGCCGCAGCAGCAGGGTGCTCTCGACGGCGGAGGTGCCGGCCGAGGCGGCCACCGACTCCGCCTTCGCGGAGGCGTGGAAGAAGGTGGCCCCCAACATCGAGGCCCCCGCCACGCCCATGTCGCTCATGCAGCCCCGCCCCCCCACGCCGGCGGCCATCCCCTCCAAGCTCACCGTCAACTTCGTCCTCCCCTACAAGTCCGAGATCGCCAACAAGGAGGTATGCGCGGACCGTGTGCCCCCCTCTCCTTTGCCCTACATTAGCTAGAGTTTGTGTCTGAACATTCAGTGTCAATGTTCCTGATGTAAATTTCTTTGGTTGAGAAAATCTTTCCTTCTCAAGTTCTATGAATAAAACTGCATATTAGTATAGCCTACTATTCACTTATATTTTACTATGCTGCATAAGAAGCTTTTTTTTTTTTACCGTGCACCAGTTATACTCCCTCCGGTCCAAAATCTTGTAACCTAGGACTGGATGAGATACATCTTAGTGCAATGAATCCACAAGTTTATAAAAAAATTAGTAACATCTACACAACCAAATTAGTTTCATTAAATATAACACGGAATATATTTTGATAATATATTCGTTTTATATTGGAAATGTTGTTATATTTTTCTAAAAACTTGGTCAAACTTTAAAAACTAAGTGTAACTAAAGAAAAATCAAAGTGGCTTGTGACTTATTAACATGAAACGGAGAGAGTAGATTTTAGGAAGGCAGCACCATACCTGCTTGGGAGCGTGGAGTTGGAAGAGGCGCACGGGGGGGGGGGGGGGGTCGAAGATGGGCATAAGCCCCTGCGACAATGGCCATCTCGCCCACGCCGGCCACCACCACCTCCGATTCCAAGCTCACCGTTGACTTCTTCATCCTCCCCTCCAACTCCAAGCAGGTATGGCGCAGCCTTCTTGCTGCTTTCCTAAAATCTACTCTCTCCGTTTCTTTTAGTTCAACTTTTCCTTTTAAGTTTGATCAAGTTTGTAGAAAAATATAACAACATTTCCAATATAAAACAAATATATTATAAAAATATATTCCGTGTTATATTTAATGAAACTAATTTGGTTTTGTAGATGTTGCTAATTTTTTTATAAACTTAGTCAAACCTATAGAAGTTTGACTAAGAAAAAAACAAATCAACTTATAATATGAAACAGAGGGAGTATAAGATAAATGGATATATTTTCCTTTACTAAAATCTGTAAAAAAAAATGAAAATAGTTCTCCTTTAGTTCATATAGTTTCTTGTTATTAGGCTGATTGCTACGGGTCATGGAGGAGGCAATCCGCTCTGGCCATACATCACCTTCCCATGGGCACGATTGCAGCCAAGATTCTGCCGTGGGAAGCGCCATCTCGTGAGACCCTACTGAGGACAATCAATGCTGCTCTCGATGACGGCAATGTCGACGACGTGCTGCAAGCATTTGCCAATTACAAGACCCTGCATGGCCTTCCTGAGCCGCGGGTGTTGGACAGGATGATCGTGTCGCTGTCCTATGCGTCTAGCAGGAGATGGCTTCAGAGGGCATTCGACATGGTCTTGTCAGTTTACCAATGCAATGGCAACCTTCTTAATTGTGGCTCGCTGATGAAGCTAGCTCTGGCGCTTGCCAGAGATCAGATGCCGATTCCAGCCTCCACAGTGGTGAGGATCATATTGGAGAGCGGCAAGCTTCCTGATGTTGATATGCTGACCATGGTGTACTTGCATATGGTGAAGTCACAAGTAGGATCCTATCTTGCTGCTGATGTTTTGTGTGAGACCTGCGAGTGTTTCTTGGAGCAGATTGGAGATAGAAGGCAGCTGAAAAAACTGGATCCAATAAAGAGTAATGTTACCTTGTTTAATATGGTTTTGAAGTCATGTGTCGATTTCAAATGCATGATCAAGGCCCAAAGAATAATGGAGCTTATGTCGCTGGTTGGGGTTGTGGCCGATGTAAATACAGTGGCTATCGCTAGCCTTGTCTTTGAGATGGTTGGGCAGCAAGTTGAATTGGTGAACATGAAAAGAAGTATCGATTCTTTTGCATCTTTGCCGTTCATTCAGCACTATCTATATTTTTATGGAAGTCTGCTGAACCTGCATTTCAAATATAATGACATGGATGCCGCTGCTCAGCTTTTGGTTGATCTGTATCGACAACAAAAGCCTCGTGCTTTTGTTGGTGATAGTGTCCATAAACAAGGTGTAATACAGATAGGCTCTGGCAACCTGAAAACTGGATTCAGAATAATGTTTGACCCCATAAAAGTGGACAAAGGTTTCGTTTTAGATACAGAAAGTCAATTTGGCCTTCTTGCTGTTATTGATGGAAATATTCGTCCTAGTGAGAAGGCTCTTGCTAAATTCATTGTTGGCTGTTTGAAAGCAAGTAAAGTGCGTGCATTGTCTAGCTTTCTTATTACATTACACAAGGAAGATCTAAAGGGGCCATCTCATTCAGATGTAATTAGTGCATGCATTCTGATGGGATGGTTGCATGCTGCTCATGATATCCTGGATGATTTAGAGTCAGCTGAGATTCCTGTTCTAATCTGTACTTACATGTCTCTTTTGAGAGCATATGAGAAGGAGAATAAACCGGAAGAAGTTAATAGGTTTCTCCAACAGATACAAAAGAAAGCATATACAATGGCTGATTTTCATACCAATCCATCCTTTACCATAAAGGATGTTGCCAAAATAGTCAAGGATGAGATGCCCCTCAGAAATTCGTCTTTGCTTTCCAGTTTGGTTCAAGAAATAGAACATTATAGCTCTCGAGAGCACTTAACTTTTGAGTTCAATAATTCAATTCTTTTCTTCTGCAAGGCAAATATGATGGACGATGCTTTGAGCACATATAAGCGGATGAGAGAGCAGAATGTAAGACCCAGTCTGCATACCTTTTGCCACATACTGTGTGGATATTCTTCACTAGGCATGCATAGGGAGATTGCCATGCTGTGGGGAGAAATAAAGCGCAGACTCGAATATGGAGAGCTAACTGTGGATAGAGACTTGCTTGACTGCTTGATTTTGAATTTCCTAAACGCTGGCTATTTTGCAAGAGTCATGGAGGTTTTAAGTTACATGGCAAACCGTAAAATGTACTGTGACAAGTGGAAATACAAGCAAGTTTTTCTAAAGCTACACAAGAATCTGTATAGAAATTTGAATTTGCTGCATGAAAAAACAGAACAACAGAGTAAAAGAATAGAAGATGTCAGAGCTTTCAGATCCTGGGCAGGCGTCAAATAGGTAAAATGACTGCAGCACTGTAATCCTTTTGCATTTAGAGAACACTCTTCTTGTGCATGCACATCTGTACAGAATTCTTCCGATGTAACATCATCCGCATCTGTTGTATAATTCTGTATTGTCCTTTCAAGTCTTTCCATTTATTCTTGATGGTTAGTTCCAATTCCTTAGTACTCACTGTAACATCTTACATGCATGGATTTTCTCTTCTTTGACCTCTAAATCCACTTTCAAGGCTTCTAAATCAACTTTCAAGGCTTCAACTATCGATTTTTTTTTTATATAAATTGCCCGTCTTTTCTTTCATCTGTTTTGGCATGGATCATGAATCTCATAGCAGCACATATTTCCTCTTCAGGTTCCAGGTGGTTGCTAATTCTTACATTTAAATATGTTGACCATTGATAATCTTATTGATAATCTTATTGTAGTACTGGCCTTGTGGCAATCTTAGACTACTGTCTTACCAACAGTAATGTTTCTTTCTTGTGATATTCTACAAAGAGGCTATGCTGATACAGAAGATCATGCTGTTGCTTCAAGTTGTCAAGTAATTATTTTTGTGGGAAACCGACTCCTTGACCTTACGTCACAAGCAAGATCAATTGCATAGACCACAAATGGTATTTATTATTTTGAAACAGTTGTACACTTTGACATCTCTGACAATCATTTATTACCGATTTCAAGTTTTTAATGAAACTGATGAACTTGTAGGCCTGATGGGAGTTTGATAGAGCACTTGCAGTCCAGACCTTACTGGCTACTAAGGTTTGCCATCACTAATACCAGAATTGTCCAGTACTACCATGTGGGGTACACAACTTGAACAGTAACTTTTTTTAGAGGAACTTGAACAGTAACTTGGCATGCTTAACTAGTTGCTGTGGTTCTAGAGGACACAGTTATGAAGTTGAGGCAGATATTCTAATTGTGATATTCTTTTTAATATAGTCATATGACATAAGTCCTGGAAACTCTCTATTTCCTAAATATGTGCAGATAATAGAGCAAAAACAGGAAAAATGTTTCAATAACACAGTTGATGTTCGTGCTTAATGATTCCAACTTTTACCTAAAAACGCTCACATGTTGAAGGATGCCATATTGCTATGAATACTAATTTTAGGAAGTTTTTCCTTTTAGTTGAGCATAGCTGTCCATCAGCTGCTCAATTACAAGAAATATTTTACTTCTAATAGTTTTTAGGCTTTAAGCATATATTGCATTTGACTTTGCACGTTAAAAACTGATGCTAAGTTTCCACATATCAATTTCTTTACTGTTGGTGTGTTCATTATTTGATTCGGTGCCTCTTTGGAAGCACGGGTAATTGGTTTGGCTTCTTTCTTAACTTTAGGGCTGACATCATTGTTGGGGATTTCTGCAGGTGCTGTGTTTATAAAACCCAAAGGATAGTTGGATTGATCAGTTGGTTCTTTGTAATTTTAGTTAAATGCAGGACTATGGCTATGTCACAGTATTTATCTAGTACCAGGTTGATGTAAGCAGGTGCATTCTGTAGATCGTGTCTTTCCGAAATACCTAGCTTGGTTGCTCTTATGCTAAATATAATCAATTATGATGTGTCTATGCTTTCTGGGTGCACTATCATTTTGCCATGAACTTGTGATTGTTCCCATCCAAAACGTGGCTATTTGTGTAGTCTGGTTCAGAAAGAATGCGATCATCCTCATTGCAAACCTCTGCTTTGTATTATAACCCATAAATAAATTAAAAAAATATATTTCTTTACCGGAAAAAATGAGAAAATGTTTAAGGAAGAAATGAGTTTTTTTTTTTAATTTAGAAGAGGAGAAGAATGGAACGGTGGCATGTTTTCCGATGTAATTTTTGTAAAATATTTTTATATATGAACTTCCTAGAATACCATTTTAAATCCATTTTTCGAGTTGATAATAGATAATTCATTTGTTTGTATCCTCTAATAATTGTCAAAACGCTTCGTCCATTAAGCATGAAAAAAAGTAGCCATTTAACATATAAGAACTATGTGTGCTGTGGATTATCTACTTGATTATATGGATAAATTAAACATTTTAATAAATAACTTTAACAAGGTGTTCTAAGCAATCCAATAAAAATTCTTTTTTTAGAAAGCATATTCTTAGAAACGCGGAGTAAATAATCCATTTTAAAAAATCCAATAAACAATATGAATAAGTTCACTTGAGACCCTTAACTTGTTAACGAATCTGATTTTCACCTTTCAACCGGAAACCATATACCCGGTGCAACATAGGTCCCATAATGGTTTGAACGGTGGTTTTAGCTGGCATGGCTAGTTTGACTTGATCTTTATCCCATATAGCATCCACGTGACGTTTAAAGTGGCAATTTGATATGGAAATGTGTTCTCATTCGCTCCTTTCTCTCTCTCTTTCCACATGATGAAGAGATGACAGAGGAGGAAGAAGAACGACCGGGAGAGAGAAGAGGAGGGAGTGAGAATGACACGTGGGCCTCACCATTTTTAATTATTATTTTTATTATAGCTGACATATGGGTCCACGGTTTTTATTATTTCCCAGATCAAATTGTCATGGCAATGCCACGTAGAATAAAGACCGAGTCAAACTAGCCATGTAAGCGACATGGCAGCGAAAACCACCGTCCAAACCGCCATGGGACCTATATTGCGCCGGTTTTGACAGTTGTGGGATCCGTTATATCTATTTTTTTGGTTGAAGGACCAAAATCGGATTCGTTGATCAGTTAAGGGACCTCAAGTGAACTTATTCCTAAATGATATGAAAAGAAGGCAGGCGACCTAGCCTAAATATAGAAACGGCCCAGCCCAAACTCGCCTCCACTCCCACTGACCCACACTCCTCACCTCACCTCGCCCTCCAAATCGCCCACACCCCTGGAACCCCATTCCACCCACCCACGCGCAGCCGCAGCGACGAGAGGAGAAACGAGAGAGAGAAAAAGAAGAAAGAGAAAAATGCTGCGCCACGCCGCCCGCCGCCTGGCCACCACCCGCGCCGCCGCCGCCGCCGGCCGCAGCAGCAGGGCGCTCTCGACGGCGGAGGTGCCGGCCGAGGCGGCCACCGACTCCGCCTTCGCGGAGGCGTGGAAGAAGGTGGCCCCCAACATCGAGGCCCCCGCCACGCCCATGTCGCTCATGCAGCCCCGCCCCCCCACGCCGGCGGCCATCCCCTCCAAGCTCACCGTCAACTTCGTCCTCCCCTACAAGTCCGAGATCGCCAACAAGGAGGTACGCGCGGACCGTGTTTGCCCCCCCCCCCCTCCCCCTCTCCTCTGTCCTCCTCGGTCCCCAGATCTGTGCGTGTGGCGTCGCTAGGGTTTCGGGTATGTGCGCGATCTGGGGTTTGCGTCGTGCGATTAGGGATAGGGGTTGGGTGGGTCAAGGCAGCGCGATCCGATTCGTCGAGCTGGTGTGGTAGAGGTCTCGCATCCAGACTCTTCATCCGTAGGAATATATCATGGTCAATGCTTCTATCCTCCGTTTATCGTTTGCCCAGAATGTTTGTGATGTGGCCATTTGTTGGGCGTGCGTATTTGCAATCCTATTAACACGAATGTGTGGCGGTTTACGGTTGTACATGGCTGTTGAATCATACCAGGTATTTCCTTGTTTTGTTGCTATGAGTTGGAGATGTTCTTTCATGGGACAAACATAACGTAGCGTGATTCTCCAGGTGGCTAGATGTCATATGACTATAGAATTTCTGCTCAACATTTGATTGCTGTTGAGTGTTGGTAGCAAATTGCATTTCTTTTTTCTTGTTTGGGGTGCTTGTGTGCCTTAATTGCAAGGAGCATAGAGAATTCATAAATTGATATTTCCTCGCCTTAAAAGACTGTGTTTTTAGTTAGCTATGAACCTGGCTAAATTCGTGATTCATACAACCAACCAAACAAAATCTTCAATAAACACGGTCCGCTCCTTGGGGACAGAGGTAGTAGTAGTCTAGTGAAGTATCTTTTGGAAACCCCGTTACATTTTGTTAATCAGATTGAGGATTCCAGGTCGCTCCTTGGGTGTTTCTTATTTATAGATTTCAAGTTTCTCTTGCTAGGATTGCTGTGTGCCAGGCCAAGTTTTAATTCTGACTACAACAGTGTATTCAGACCTGTTTATCTCTAGTGTTTGTAGTGCTATGCGGCTTTATGCATTGTCTGGATTTATCGGTATAGTTGCAGTTTCTCTTGTTTACATTAACTAGAGTTTGTGTCTGAACATTCACTGTCAATGTTCCTGATGTAAATTTCTTTGGTTGAGAAAATCTTTCCTTCTGAAGTTCTATAAATAAAACTGCATATTAATATAGCCTACTATTCACTTATATTTTACTATGCTGCATAGGCAGCTTCTTTTTTGACTGTGCGCCAATTATAGCTTTTGTCCTTGATATATGTTATTTGCCCTGTGATAACCAAGTCTAATACTACTTGTTTAGTTTTGTGGTGATTTTCTTTGTTTCATGTTGTTTCCTTTAGCTTGCTTGTTGGCCTTGATGGTTTGGTACTGTTTACTTAATGGTTAATGGCACTATTAAGAAGTTTCAGATCATCAATTTTTCCTTAAGTATGTTGCTGAGCGTCATGTTCTTTTGTTGCTATTGTGTATGAAATATAATTGGTTGATGGTGTTCGAAGGTTGTCTATGTTTGTGTTGTTGCATTTCAACAGATGATAGGCAAATTATCTATCAGTTGATTCACATAGATTTTGTATGTCAATGCTTGATTCAACAATACTACTGTTAATGTACCAATTAATTCTTCCCCCATCATCAATATTGTCTTCTGTTGCTTCTTTCCCTTGCTTATGTCTTTGCTTGTCTATACTCAGGTTGACATGGTAATTGTACCAGCAACAACTGGTCAGATGGGTGTTTTGCCAGGCCACGTTTCCACAATCGCAGAGCTCAAGCCTGGTGTTCTCTCGGTACACGAGGGAAACGATATCACCAAGTACTTTGTGAGCAGTGGCTTTGCATTTGTCCATGCAAACTCCATCGCTGATATCGTGGCTGTTGAGGCTGTCCCCCTGGACCAGATCGACCCAGCCGCGGTCCAGCAGGGTCTCGCGGAATTCAACGCCAAGCTTGGATCGGCCTCAACTGAACTGGAGAAGGCCGAAGCTCAGATTGGAGTGGATGTTCACAGTGCGCTCAATGCCGCTTTGGCTGGTTGATCAATACGTTTTTAAGTTGCTGTCCCTCTCTCTCTTTTGCATCTTCATTTTTAGAATGTGAGCTGAAGTTTGCAAACTCATGGATGATGGGATGGAGGGAATGATCTTAAATAAATTATACTCCATCTCAAAGACAGAACCCTGTTTCTTCTTTTAACTTGACTCCTGCATGGATTTTTGTAATAGTGAATATTTTTCTCCGAGCCTACAAAGTCGAAGTTTTCTGGTTCCAGTTTTCCATCCTGAGTTTACGCTTGGATCAAATGACAAAACACAAAAGCCGTTCTGTTTCTAGCTTCTGATGAATTCTCTTATGTGGAGAGTGTAGTCGTCAAGATTAAAATCCACTTTTGGTACGGTACACATCCTGTGTTCAAACTATGTGGTGATGTTAAGAAATCAGAAATTGCTGCTGTTTTTCAAATGAAGAATATCCCAATGCCGTACTTAAGAGAAACCAAAACACTTATTTTTTGAAAAAAAAATGATATGCACAGCACAGGCTTGCAATGGTAGTAGAACAGGCGAGAGCAAGTCATCGAAACAAAATCAGGTCGTAATTATCCCAAAAATTAGTACTCTTTCCATTTCATTTCGTATTATAAATTGTTTGATTTTTTTTCTAGTTAAACTTTATTTAGTTTGACCAAGTTATAAAAATATTTTTTTATCTAATATATCAAATTAGTTTCATTAAATCTAATATTGAATATATTTTGATAATATGTTTGTTTTGTAAATACTACTATATTTTTTTTATAAATTGATCAAATTTAAAGAAATTTAACAAAAGAAAATCAAATAACTTATCCTCCCTCCGTTTCACATCAATATGAACGTGAGAAATTCTAGCACATCAATATGAATGTGAAAAATGTTAGAATGATTTACATTGTGAAACGGAGGAAGTAATATAGAATAGGAGGAGTAGATTACATGATAGAATAGTAGTGCGTTTGAACTTTGAACACAGGGAGGTCTCAAGTCTCACCATGCTGCGTGCCTGCGTTGCATGTAGCTGCTGCCTTCGTCATCTTCATGTGCACCAGCCTCCGCGCCGCCGGCGCCGCGCTCGCGCCAGCCGCCAGCTTGGCCAGGTGCGCCATTCGCCGCCGCTTCGCCGTCGCTGCCTTCTTCGCCTCCGGGGAGGAGGAACCGGAGCCGGCGTGGCAGCGAGGAGGCGGGGGCGATCCCTCCTCCGGCGGCTCGGGGGGACCATCCAGCTCGCCGTGCCGCGCCGCGCGCTCCAGGGCCCGCGCCGCCTCCGCCATGGACGGGCGCTCCCCGGCGCGGTCGGCGAGGCACCTCCACGCGAGCGCCGCGACGTCCTGCGCGGCGCGGTGCGAGTACCTCCCCGCGAGTCGCGGGTCGGGGAGCCTCGAGAACCACCGGGTGCCCGCGGGGTGGCGGCGCGCCCAGTCGACGAGCTTCTGGTCGGGGCGTGGCCGGCTCCGGTCGAAGGCGCGGTGGCCGGTGAGGAGCTCGAGCAGCACGACGCCGAAGCTCCAGACGTCGCTCCTCGCCGTGAGGCGGCCCGTCTCCACGTAGTCCGGCGCCGCGTACCCGTACGTGCCCATCACCTGTTTGATTTTATGCCCGTTTCATACACATCACACGTTGTTGTTGATTGTTCATGCTTGCATTGCTCAGATTAATACATAATAATCCTATTATTCCTGTCCTACTTCGCACTAAAATTGATTTCTAATGTACCAATCTTTTGATAACCATAACACCCAATGTTAAAATTGTACTTCCTCCGTTTCACAATGTAAGTCATTCTAGCATTTCCCACATTTATATTGATGTTGATGAATCTAGATAGATGTATATGTCTAGATTCATTAACATCACTATGAATATGAGAAATGCTAGAATGACTTACATTATGAAACGGAGGGAGTAGCCATTAGTCTCCGATCGAATTTTATTTTATTTTTTTTGCAAAAGTTTAGCCATTAGTTTGAACTTTGAACTAAATTGGACCGCCAACTCTCAGATCTTAAATTTCTAGGGGTTGCATTGGTTAGCTTATTTTTGTTGAAAGGGTGGAAGTTTCGCATTCGTTGAACTGCATGAATCTTTTTGTGAAAACACATCTCTCCAGGTGAAAACAGATTATATGTCAGGACAAATGCCTGAAACGATGGTTTGGCCGCCTACCAAACTTTCTAGACCGTTTTGATGCCCGATTCGAACCAACCATGAAATTATTCAAGAAAATACTGTAATTCTACTTTTTTTTTTGTGCAGATTGAATGCAAGTAGTTCTTAAGGTAAATGGTAACCATCTTGCTAGTACTGATGACAAATGACTTACCGCTGTGGACACGTGAGTTTGTCCATCCACTGGGCCCTCCCTTGCTAATCCAAAATCTGAAAGTTTTGGTCTGAATTCCTCATCTAACAGCACGTTTGATGATTTTAAGTCGCGATATATGACCTGTAACATAAAGAGTGTCATAACTACAAGTCTACAACTCTACAACATGTGAACACAAGCATCAATAGTTCAGAATATAAACACTGGAAAACTCTGTTAATTTGCGCTAACAAGTATAGAATTATAGATCAGAAAGCCTTCTGAATCATAGCTCCTGATACATATCCCTATGAGACTATCATTGCAAAACTGGAACAACTGGGAGTTGTCACTTAACTCTGAGCACTTGGGTTTTGAGATAGCATTAATGGGAAACAGCTGTATTATTTGTTTACTAATGTAACATAGCTCTAGAGCCCTAAGCTTCTAATAACAACTAATAGTAAGGATTAAAGAAAACAGCAGAAAAAGCAGAAGAAAAGAGGAGGAAAAAAAGAGCACTGCTATTTACATTGTTCTCTGAACTTGTAACTGACAATACTCAATATATCGATTATCGAAGTTGTTAGACCAATACCTGAATTTCCAACCCTTCATGCAAGTACTGCAGCCCCTTAGCAACGCCCAAGGCTATGCTAAGCCTTGTTTTCCATGGAAGTGTTGGGTATGCTTTATTGAACAAGTGATATTCTAGGGTCTTGTTAGGCATAAACTCATACACAAGAAGTCTCTGAGGACCTTGTTCGCCGTCGTCAGTCCCGCAGTAGCCAATGAGTTTGACAAGATTTGGGTGATCCACAACAGCAAGGAACTGAACTTCAGCCAGCCACTGCTTATGACCCTGAAAGTGATGTAATTGAGGAATAAATCAACTTTTTGAATTGATGGTCATACTGGAAGAATTGTAGAAGTATAAATAACATTTAAACAAATTTAATGGAAGAATTTGTTTTTTCAGATTGCTACTCCAAGTGCATGATTCCTCAAAATGTTGTAATTACTGCATTCTAGATGTTAAAACTTACAAGCCATGGGGGGTTCATTTTCCTTTTTTGCATATAAGACACAAGAAATTCGTGAGGCATAATTTTCTATAACATGCAGCTATAATTTGACAGTTATATATTTGCTGAGTATTATGCATGGGAAATGCAAAATATGAACTAAAAATGTATTTTACCAGTAGTCTACATTTGAGAATAATTTTGCTAAAATCCTTGTCATCAGTCATCCTGAGGCTAACATTCACATTCCATTCCATAAGTGATAATAATTTTGACCAAACCATCCTGCCCAACTTTTTAGAGTACTAAATGCGATTTGTATAAAAATTGTTACACAGCCTGGAATCCTACATTAAATAATATACTCGGCACGATTCGAAAGTAACCAATATGTGCAGAATCAGTATATTTACTTATGCAATTTGATCCCAGGCTCCCTGCATCCCTTTGTTTCATAATAAAAGGTATGCTTCAACTCCATTTAACAATTGCAGTGTACATAGAAACATGATTATAGCATCTAACATTCATAAGGTCTATCGAAGACAATCAATACCTGCATTCCATTAGGATTGAGCTTCTTGACAGCCACCACCACATTGCCACTGTCATTCCTGAGCCCCAAATGACCGCAAGAAGTTTTTAGGAAGCCCTTGTACACACTCCCAAACCCTCCTTCCCCTATCTTGAGCTCTCTACTGAAGTTACCGGTAGCACTTCTCAGCTCGGCAAGGCGAAAATCACGGAGCTCATGCGCACGCTCCTCGTATAGCTCCAGTATGCTCCGTGGTGATGAAGCAACAACCAGGCTGCATGATCTGTTGGCCTTCTTGGACATTTCATCTCTGAAGTCATCTTTGTCTACGGTTAGTGTAGGGGATGACCTTGATTGCTTCTTGTTCTTATTCTTGTTCTTCTCTCTTGAGTAGAAGAAGCAGCCCATTGTGATTGTGCTAGAATGATTTGGATAAGTATGGTAGTTTTTTCAGAACAGAGTGGAGCATTACAATTGTAAATCTTGTCACGATTGCAAGAAGGAAGAGAAAACAAGAGAAAATCAAAGTATAGGCAGAATGATGCTAGCAACAAACTTAGGCATGTAAACAAGGCAAGGATTCTTTGCAAGAAAGCAGTGGAACATATGAACTTGCAAGACCAACTGAAGAGCTGGAAGTAGGATCTCAGGAAAATGAGAGGATAAAAAAAAAAGTTAAGAAGAATTCATGAATGTTCAACTTTGTCAAAGAAAGGTGATGCCAATATTTCACCAGAAGAAAAACAAACAAGTGAAGGCTGTTCAAATAGCTCAGTTCTGGACGCTCAAGATGTAAAGACCACCTCCTTTCCTAGAAGTCCAATGGAGCTACATAGAGAGATTTCAGTAGTAGAGAAAGCCATGGTTACAAAGTAAGGGTTGAAGAAGGTTAGTTACTTCTAAGAATGATTTAGGTACATAGCTCTGCTCCAAGAATGTGTGACTTTAATATGTAGTGTATATAATGCAAGAAGGCATCACAAAGTCGCACAAAAGAGAATCAAGGAAGGCTGTGCTTACTTTGACCGGTGAAACTGATGTATATATAATCTTGTGAAGAAGGCATGGAGACTGCCAAAATTCAACCACTAAAGTTAGAAGACCTCATTGCACAGAAGAGGAGAGATGTCTGGTTCTGAAGCTTGGAGAGAGACTGGAGTGTGATTTCATGGTAAGCTCTGGAAGAAATACTGGTCTTCTCTGTCTCTTCTCTAGTAGCTTAGAATTGTATTTTCACTAACCTAATCTAGAGCACTAAATACATAGCCTTACAAGTTACACCAACCCTCTTGACTTATTGACCCCACTGATGATTTCAACCCCTATCATTCTCTTGTGATGCTTTCATTTTCAGTAAATTTGGTTGACCTTTGGGAGCTGGGACTTGCAAACCTGTTGCATGTAGTAGTTCCATAATGTTTTCTGCCAATTTAGTTACTAAAATTATTACATCACATGGACTGCTTCTTGTTACATATCTGGCCCATGCAGTTTATTTCATTTAGTAACTGAAGGTTTGGCATGTTTTACATCTACAATCTAGTTATTAGTTTGTGGAACTAGAATAATCTCCACATTTTGATGTCGTAAATGATACTATTTCCAAAACTAATCAATCATGTCTAGCAAATTATGTCTTTTTCTCCTTGTTAGTACTTACTAATAATCTTGAAAAAATAACTAGTTGAAATAATTCATACATGATTAAATGATATTCAGCAATCGTTGTTTTCCATGATCTCCCTCTCTTAAGTATGAATTTATTTTGATAAGAATTACAAAAAAAAAAAATCTGGTAGGATTCTACTTCTGATGTACATTATGCTAATGTGAGAGCAACGGACATGGATATCAAGCAGTTCGTTTCAGAACAACATGTGAAACTTAGTATCAATGTAAAGTTTCTTAGCTGTCCTTCATTACAGCTCATTAGATTGATCTAAAAGTATACAATTAGAATTAAGAATGGCAAAGCATGGTCTGATCATAGCTGTCCATGGCTTACAATATTGGTTGGAGTCTTCTTAGGACACCAAGTAAAATGCTTCTTTAGTGAATATTTTTGTCCTTAAAATCTCCAAAGATCAATTCAACTCATATATTAAGGACTATGGAGGAATGATGCCCTGTTTTGTGCCACTGACACTATTGAACTGCATGTTTATTGTTTTCTGTTATTTCCGAAGTAACTGCTGAAGAACTGACATGTCAGCTTAAACTGGAACCTGGTATCCATTATCAACGTCTCCCCATCGTCTTAAATGCTAGGAATAGTTTCTTTTTTCGTAAGTCAAACAGATCTCTGATCGAAACACATATTGCTCTGTTGAGTTACATATTTCTGGATCTGAAATTTGCAGATAGCAAAGCTGCGGCAATATAAACTGTCTCTGTTGAATTTGTGAATACTAAGAGTTCCTTTCTTAAACATTATCTTTGACTCAACGAGTTTTAGCTTTATATTAACTCTGTTGTTCAATAGATAACGCCATTAACTTTTGGCATGGCGTTTGACCATTTTCTTACTAAAAACTATATAAGTATCATTTATTTTTTTGTGGCTTCTTTTATCATTAACATAACTTTAAAATAACTTTTTTTTCATATTTACACTAGAATTTGAAATAAAACGAATGGTTAAACGTTACACTGAAAGTCAATGGCATCATCTTTATAAAAATAGAGGTAGTATTTTTCTATTCATCCTAAACAATGGTTAAGTCTATGCTAATTGGCATGCCCACGAGAGGTGAAGGTGTAAATTGATCTTGGGATATGAGAGCATCAAACAGCTCTTTTTAAAGTTAAGCATGATTAAGCAAAGTCAATCCTACCTCCAGAACCTCATGTGACTTCGATATATTTTCCATGTATTATCATCTCCCACATCTTTGGAGCTTCAGTTTTGGTAAGAGGAAATTACTCCTCTTCATTAGTCTCAAATTACCGTAGGGGATATTGTCTATTCACTGGCACAAATTTTAAGGAAAAATATCCTGAAATTTTATCTAATTATTTACCTCAATGTCTCCTTCCTTGAAATCTGAGGCAGTGAATAAGGGATCATATTTTTTAAGGCAAATATGAAGGATTTGCTTTCTAAAGTTCATGGTACTCAGGATTTTTTTAAAAACATTGTATTGAGGATCTTAGAATAGCAAAAACTATCCCACCAAGTGGAAGCACCGGCGGGTAGAGTCGTGGGTGCATGACTTCACCCACCAAGGTTCAAATCTTCATGCATACGAATATTATGCACATGTAAGTAGACTTTTAACATGTTTTTAGTAAGATTAGGGATGTGTCGCTAGTTCTCGTCTCTTAACAGCGGAGTTGTCTCCATTCCTCTCCCACTAGCTGTAAGCTGTTAGATCTCAATTCTCCTTCCATACCTATCTCCTACCCCATTGACTTGTTAGATCTTGATTCTCCTTCCATCCCTATCTGCTACCCATCGATCGTAAACAATGTGACTCATCCTAATTATATGGGTCCAAGCAATGCACCAATGTCTCTGACTCATCCTAATTATATGGGTCCAAGCAATGCACCAATGTCTCTGTTGGTCGAAAATTGTACTACTCCCCAAATATAACAACTTTCTAGCTATATATCTTTATCTGGATAAGAGCATATTCAGATATATAGCTAAAAATTACTATATTTTGGACGAAGGTAGTAGTTATGTCTCAAATAAGTTTATTTTTCACATATCCCACATATACCAATATAAAAAAAAGACTACAATATCCTCATTTTATCAAACCCCAATGCAATTATTGCTCTCTATCTATTCCCAATACATTTATCCCCTATTTTCACAAACTTCGGTACAATGGTTGCTCAAAAATAACTTATTTTGGGACAATAGGGAAAGACAAAAAAAATCTTAGGGCCTGTTTAGTTCCCCTGGCAAGTTTTTTCACCCTGTCACATCGAATGTTTGGACACATGCATGAAGTATTAAATATAGACAAAAAAAACTAATTACACAGATTGCGTGTAAATTGCGAGATGGATTTATTAAGCCTAATTGCTCTATGATTTGATAATGTGGTGCTACAATAAATATTTGCTAATGACGGATTGATTAAGCTTAATAAATTTGTCTCGCAGTTTACAGGCGAAATTTGTAATTTGTTTTGTTATTAGACTATGTTTAATAGTTCAAATGTGTGTCCATATATCCGATGTGACACGGCAAAAATTTTTACCCCCTGGATCTAAACACATCCTTAGGAAGTGTTTGAGAGGAGGGAAAGGAGAAGATTGAGAAGATACACAAAACGATGTGAACCATTAGCACATAATTAATTGAGTATTAAGTATTTCAAACTTAAAAATGATTAATATAATTTTTAAAAGCATTTTTTAACGTTTTCGTAGAACTTCTCTTTTAAAAAAAGACATTGTTTAACAAGTCAGGAAGTATACGCGCAGACCGAATTCTACGGCGAAGGGAGTACTTTCTCTGTCCCGAAAAAACAAACATCGTCTCGCAAAAAATAAATATTCAGTTTTAGATTTTTTTTTTTTGACGGAGGGAGTAGTTTGCTAGGTTTCCCTGGTAGGAGTATATGCTTGCCTGGTCGAACTGATGGGAGAAAAAAAACAAAAAAAGGGTACTTTTTGTACTGTGCTATGACCAGCTGGTACTGCCTCCAGCTTGAGCTTACCTGACTCTCAGACTGAAAGCAACCATTCATGCCACTAGCCTCCCATTCTCCCTGTGTCTTCGAGTCCCTGTCACAGTCTAAAGTTGCTGGCTGGCTCTCCTTACAAAGTCTATCTGGTAGTACAGTACAAGACCAAATAACTTATTTTTATTAATCAAGAAAAGTTGTATGAGACCAAATAATTTGGCCTGGATGACTTGGGAGAATCGCTTATCGCTTATCGCTAGGCCCTATTTAGTCCCCAAAACAAAAATTTTCACGCAATCACATCGAGTGTTTGAACACATACATAGAATATTAAATGTAGAAAAAAACAATTACACAGATTGCGTGTAAATTGCAAGACGAATCGTTTAAGCCTAATTGCGTCATGATTTGATAATATGGTGCTACACTAAACATTTGCTAACAACGGATTAATTAGGCTTAATAAATTCGTCTCGTAGTTTCCTGAATTCTACAGTAATTTGTTTTGTTATTAGACTACGTTTAATACTTCAAATGTGTGTCCGTATATCTGATGTGACAACCAAACCAAAATTTTTTTTCCCCAACTAAACAAGGCCTTTTTGGAATTTGGAAGTCTTTTTACAGCCACGGTTCATGACCAGCAGCAAAGTAAATAAATGAATGATTATAACACTTCTACTCTTATTTTAGCAGTTCAAAAGGCCGAGGATTGAAAAATGGAAGGCGCCTAAAACCATTACAATAATTCTAAAATAAAATTCTACTAGAATTACCAGAATACCGAGCACTGAACATCACTTCCATCCACCATGATGATGAATTGTGTGGATACTCCGAGCAAGCAACAGAATACCAGATCAATATGGACCAGAATACCGGCCTGCCCCTGTCATCCCTCGCCTTCCAATTGCAGGCATGAACCTTGCTTACAACTTACAAGATAAAATAAACCAATGCCTGGGGCAGCACACCATTTTAATCAAGGCACAAACAACATCGGCTACTTTAGAATTACGGGATCCCACAGATTCGCTAATTAAAGAACAATTGGAATTACGTTACAACATTGATCGATTGATGTCTTTTTATAGCTACACTTCGAATGTGGAGTGGGCCTGCCTGCCAAGGTGCATGCATGCGGCAGGCCTGTGGAGGTGGCAGTGGCGGCATGATAGAGACCATCGCTGGCAAATGCCCCCCACTCTTGCAGTAGTCCACCAGGGTGTCTCCAAGCCCTGCAAAACTCCAGTCTCCGCCTCATGGCTTGTGGAGCTTGAATCCAAATACACGAGGAACGTAGCGCTGCGAGGGTTTCTGAGGCTTGAGGTGCTCGTACGTCATCAGAAACAGGTGCGGGAATGTTGTCCCAAAGTATGCGCCGTCGATGTCTGAACATGGTCAAGAAAACAGCAGAATATAACAACAAAATGGCAGTTCTATGTAACTATGATATCAATGTAACACAGATGAGAGTGTGTGGACTTCATCTAATAAGCGATAATATATATTGGCACTGAGAACACTAAGAAAGCAAAAGACCATGCGTTAAAGATTACTGAATTGTTTATGTCCTTAGTATTGATATTAGTCGTCCTAACAACTGTATATGTCTGCCTGTTAAAACTTGTCAAAGCATTTGCCAACCACTCCTATCAGCGAATTAGGGCAAAACTATTAGAATATAGTAATGCTGGAAATCCAAAGGAATTCTATTTTCTTCCAGAGAAAAACAAAAAAGGAACGCTCATATAGACAGTATGATAAGAGAGTGGTTAGGATACTGCCTTGGTACTTGGACCGTGGATAGTAGATGTCTTCACACTTGGGGCAGTATATCTTCACAGTACTAGATCGGTGTATATCTGATTGTCCAACTGGTAAACAGGGTTGACCACAGCAATAAACTCGTGGGCATCTTCCAAAATCATAGTTTTTGTACTTCTCCAGCTGTGACAAAAAATATTAACAACTGTCAATTTATCATAAATCGGAAGTACAACAATATAAATACCAAAGAAAGGTACCATTGCAGCCAATCCTTTACTGGTCAAAATGTATCGTGCATGAATCAGCCCATATAACATCTCTGCAGCTGACTCCACTAGCTCGTTTTGTTCTTCGGTGAACATGTCACCTACATATTGACACAATCAAGAAACATTAGCAAAAAGAATGAGAACAGTAGAAAAGAGAACATGGATTAAAGGGAGCTACTGCATTATGATGCCATAAAGAAGGCTGTGTTACATTACTGATGGGTTATGGCATTTAAAATAGCAGACAAAACAACACACATATCCTCTCCATGCTTGCTAATTACTACCACACCATTTACTGCCACAGAAACCTAAAGCAATCTATTAGCAACATCACTCTTAATAACATTAGGGCACCTAAACAGGTGACCAAGAACAAAACAAAATCACAAGGTTTAATAATAGTGAGAATTAATTTTCCATGTAATAGAACAGAAAGTTTCTAAGCATGTACTATGGGTACTATCAAGGAGCAAACGACAAGTAACGCATGATGGTGCAGCCATATGCAGAGTTGCAAAAGAGACGGTCATCCAGAATACAAAAGCACAATAACTAACAGTAAAAGAAAAGGCCTTTTGACCTGCACTGGTTATTTGTTCATAATCATAGAAGTTGATAACAGAGATCAATTCGAGGAGAAAAAAAGGAACATCTATGTTTTGTGTTCTTTCTAGGAGAGGTACCTTAAATTAGTCATGGTACTCCACAATATCTAATATCTAGCTTAAGAGTTGAACAAATATCTAAGAATTGTATGTACTTTTGTTTAAAAAGTCTAAGTTGACCTCTGTTTGGACATCATCAATACAAGATACCAGTTTCAACTATTAAGCAGATCAAGGAAGAAATACAGGAAACATTTTTTGCTCAAATACATCCACCATTTGTTTCATTTGCATACGTAAATACAGGGAACATTTACCGTGAGAAGATTCGATATCTAAAATGAGATCAAGAGCATAATCATAATATGGAACTTGACTGCTAAGCCCACAGAGGTTGAAGTCATCTTGTATATAATCATCATCAACCTCACAGAAGAATTCATTCCCTCTTAGACTGCAGTACCATGAAATCCATGAGTGATCCTCTCCGTCAGAACCACTAACATCTGATGCTTCACTATCAGATTCAGACTCCCCTGCAATGTCAAGCATGGACTTGTCAATGCAAAGGCTTTTACAAACAATGATGCAAATGCAGCATACCTGTAAACACAGTATCAAATCTGAAATAAAACATAGCATGCTTAATCAACACCTCAAAAAACTTAAAAGTTATACTCCAGTTAGACCCGCAATAGCATAGATGAATTAAACTAATGGACTCCTCAACCCGACTGGCAACATTCATGCAAAGAACTGGGCAATGGAACCAAATTTAAGCAATCAATGAAGCATAAAAATAAGATATTACTGATCGTATGGGCCACTTGATTTTTGGTTTTGGTAACGGAGACCACTCCAGGAATGTAATTTCAATTAACCTTTAAATCAACAACACATGCAAAAAATTTCAGGATTGTTTTTATTTTTGTTGTCCTTGGAGTTGTTTTTGTTATTCTTGTACGTAATTAAGCCACGCGTTGTATTTGCATATAAAATCATGAAGATAAGTGATGTTAGACAATGCCGTTAATCTTTTTTGCGGTGCACATATGGAAAGCCCAATGGGAGGTAAGGCCATTTAAGGCATTTGTGTGCTTTTACACAACATTAACTATGCGTCTATGCCTGAAACAAGCAGATGGTAAATCGGATACAACAAGCAAACACTTCCTCAATAAGATCCTACATCAGCATCTTCAAACATCATCAAAACAACAGCCCAATTAACACAACCCTGAAACACCTCCAAAAAAACTTAAACTGACATCTCTACACACATATAGAACAAATAAATCAACTTTCATAGTCTTCAACACATTTAGGATACATTAAACAGATCATTGCAAACCAGTCACAATACCTCCAACGCTCCAACAACTTCGCCGCTAATGAAAATCCACAATCAACAATCAATTACATTCCTACGTCAAATTAGTTATTCCCTGTTAAGTTCTATAGTTCCAAACAGGTTCATAAGCTCATGCCATCGATCAAACACCACATGTGACGAATGGTTCCCTCTTAGGAAAGCTCCGCAGACATCCTAATCCTAACGTTTAAAATCAAACAATAAATTTCTACCGCAGCCGCCTGAATCCCCATAAAGACGAATATATGCAATCACTAATCATATCAAACACAACGGAATACCAATCCAGAACCAGTTCCCTGCTGCCGCAGCGCAATCTATCCCCTCCCATGGCCGCAACCGCATCAGCGCACCACGCAAACGACGGATTTCTCAATCTCAGGCACGACGCGCCACGCGAGACGGCCAATAAAAAAAAAAGAGGAGGGGGAAGGCGAGTCGGTCGCGTCGCGTCGCGCGTGACGTCACCTTCGGAGCACCGTCCCTTGGGCATGGACGACGCGGAGGACGGCACGACGAGGCGCTGGTGGTCACCACCGCCCCTCCCCCCCGCCGACCCCCTCGACGTCGAGGGCGACGCGGCCGCCGCCGCCGCCGCGACCGCCTTCTCGAGGTGCTTGTCGAGCGCGTCGCTGATTCGCTTCCGGTCCAGCCCCGCGCCGCCTCCGCCTCCCCCTCCCCCTCCCCCTCCTCCCCCCTGCTTGTACATCTCCTCCTCCCTCCCTCCCGCTCCCGCTCCTGCTGCTCCGGCGGCGGCTCCTCACGCGTGACGCGCCATTGGGGGGAAGGCGAGGCTAGGGTTAGGGTACGCCGCGGAGGAGGCGACGCGAGGCGAGGAGGAAGAGGAGAGGAGAGGAGAGCACGAGAGGGGAGGGGAGGGGGGCGTCTGCAATTTTGAGGGGGCGCGAGGGGTGTAAACGCAAAAGCGCGCGAAGGCCAATGCGAATGCTGCTTGCTGCTGCTGCTATTGGAATGTCGCGTCGACTCGTGCCGAGATATTTTTGCGGGTGCGATTTTGCCAGTTTGCGATCGCGATCTCGCGATCGGACGGGACATTGATTTTGGATTAGCAGCTTGTTTGTATTGGTTTAGGCAAGGCAACCCCCGACCTTGATTTAATCTGGTTTGGCTCTGGGTGGTGTGTGTGATTAAGTAGTGTTGACTGGTCAAGCATCAATTTCGATATTATTTGAGGGGAAGTGCAGTTTGTGATTTGAATTTTTATTATCATGAGTGAAATATTGTTTGAATTAGTGTATACTGTGTATGTGTCTCGTTTTTCACGTGGACGTTTCCTAAACAGTTAAACTGTGTGTTTTTTTTTGAAAAATCTATGTAGGAAAATGCTTTTAAAAATTATATTAATTTATTTATTAGGTTTTTTATAATATTTAATTAGTTATATACTAATTCACAGCTCCGTTTTGTTTAACAACCCCTCAAACGAACGCAACCTTAGATTATTATAGGGATGGAAATGATACGATGGTAAGGAACTAATTGGAATGGTAATAATATATTGATATAGTATTCTTGTAAGCGGTGTCACATTAAAAATATAACATCTATGGTTTCGAAAATTCCGATCAAACCATCTGGTTGAACTTGTCAACTAAAAGAAGAAAAATAGTATGTTGATTCTGCTTGAAAATAAAAAAACCTAGCCATGTGACCAGTTTCAAGAAAAGAACCAACTCCGGCTACATTTTGCGTGAAAATGTCTCCTACAGTATTTTAGTGCACGTTAATACAGCAAACAACGACTAAGGCTGAGTTTGCGAAACTCCACCTTCCCGCACGAAAAAAGGGTGTTCCTCATTAACGCATGATTAATTAAGTAATACCTCCGCTTCAGTTTATAAAACTTTCTAGCATTGCCAACATTCATATAAATGTTAATGAATCTAAGCACGCACGCGCGCGCATATATATATATATATATATATATATATATATATATATATATATATATATATATATATATATATATATATGAATGTGGGCAATGCTAAAAAGTCTTATAATATTAAAAGCAACTTTTTTACATAATTTTTTTTTTAAAAAAACACACATTTAGTAGTTTGAGAAGCGTGTGGACATAAAAAGTTTGCCTAAAAAGAATGAAATGAGTTGGGAAAGAAATTGAAGAACATAGCCTAAGGGCTATTTTGATTATGTTGGATGGTCGTTGATTTTCCGGGCACGAAAATGCGAAGAGTCATTACCTCATGCTTAATAGTGTATCGATTATTTTAAACTTAAGAAGATTTTTAAAAATATATATATATATATATATATATATAGAAACTTTTACATACAATGTACCATTTAGCATTTCTAAAAAAGTGCTAACGAAAAAGAGAAAATTAAACCGTTTCAAGTTATTAAAAAGAACTCAGCTTAATACAAAGAAAAATCATAGTCATGTACTATCTTTGGTTGACAGTTGATATCTATCCTCAATGCGTGCTGCTAGCACAAAGCACTTGTTTCCTATATTACTTAGGTCTCGTTTTTTTTTCAACAAGAGTTGAATTAAGATTAAAATTTTAGTGGCACTTTTTCAAACTGCTAAACGGTGTATTTCGTACGAAAACTGTCTATATAAAAGTTGCTCTATAATATCATATTAATCTATTTTTCAAGTTTATAATAATTAAAACTCAATCAATCATACGGTAATACCACCTCGTTTTGCGTAAAAAAAACTTCATCTTCATCTTCAGGAGAAAATAACACCACAGTTTAATATTACCTCCGTTTTTTAATAGATAACGCCGTTGACTTTTTCTCACATGTTTGACCATTCGTCTTATTCAAAAATTTTATGCAAATGTATAAGATATAAATCACACTTAAAGTATTATAAGTGATAAAACAACATAACAAAATAAATTATAATTACGTAAATTTTTTGAATAAGACGAATGGTCAAACATGTGAGAAAAAATTAACGGCGTTATCTATTAAAAAACGGAGGAAGTAGATCATGTTTCCTTTTTCGTACTTCTGCAAGTGAATCCACCTAAAGTTTAAACACTACTACCCATCAAATGTGCCTTTTAACATTATTAAATGTTTGCAAAAATAAACCTTTAGCCATGCTACGTGATTAAATCCTTATCACACCCTTGGTAACCAACGTGATGGTATTTTCTTGTCATTCCGATGAATATGACATGATGATCCGAATATACTTTTTCATAATTATGTTTAAAATTAAGTAAATTACACTAGCGGTTCTTAAACTTGTAACGAAGTTTCACTTAGATCCACGAACTTGCAAAATACGCATTGAGATACCTAAACTTGGTTTAATGTATCATCCCAGTCCAAAGCCTGGTTTAACCGTGGTCTTACCTATGTGGCATGCCACGCGGACGATGATATGGCTAAATTTCTTTTCCCCTTTTTTCTCCCCATCTTTTCTCTCCTTCCTCACCTTGCGTGGTGGACGAGGTTTCCGGCGACGGTCAGCGTGCGTTCTTGGGCACCGGCCGGCGGGAGGAGAGAAGCAGCACGCGTGCGCGGGTGGTGGCCGGTGAGGAGAGGAGCGGCGCGCGTGCTCGGGCGCCGGCTGGCAGAAGGAGAGGAGCCGCAGACGGAGGCCCAGGGGGGAGGAGAGGGAGAGGCGGCCGCCGCCAACGGCGACATATGATTTCTCCCTCTACTTCCTCTTCCGCCGCTGCCCAAGACGAGAACGATGGTGATGAGCGGGGGTGGCGCGGCCTTGCAAGCCGCACTGGAGGGGGGCGAAGAGGGGGGGCGGCGCACTTCGTTGGGCGGCGGCGCGTCATTCATGCGGAAGCGGTCGAGGCGCGCGCAAGGGGAAGTGTCGCCAGCCGCGCCCCGGGGGGAGGGGTCGCCGAACGCGACCGTGCGTGCAGGGGGAGGCGTCGGTGAGCTCAGCGTGAGCAGGGCGGGCGCAAGCTCGATGGCGGTAGCGGGGCGGCAGGGCCCGACAATGAGCTCCGCGAAAGAGGAGGTGAGCTTGTTGAACTTGAGCAGCTGCCGCAGCAGGCTGGAGTGGGGGGCCTTTCCCCTTTCCCTCCTCCTTTTCCTTCCCGTCGATGACATCGTTGCTGCTGCCGGCCTCCCCACCCCCTCGCCAGCCTCGCGGGGCGTTGACAGGTGGGTCTCACCTGTCAGCGGCAGAAGGGAGAGGAAGGAGGCAAAGTGGAGAAAAAAAGGGAGAAGAAGAGAGAAAAAAAGAAGGAAGAAGGGAGAAAAAAATTCCATATCATCGTCCACGTAGCATGCCACATAGGCAAGACTATGGTCAAACGCAGCTTTAGACCGGGATGATACATTAAACCAAGTTTAGAGATCTCGATGCACATTTTGCAAGTTTATGGACCTAAGTGAAACTTCGTTATAAGTTTAAGGACCGCTTGTGTAATTTACTCTTTAAAATTGAACTAGAGGAGTGCACTTATTTTGAGACGGAGGAGTATTATTTAAAAAGTTTACAAAATAAAAAAATATAGTTGCCTCTCCTGTACCACTCTCTCCATTCAAAAAAATCCAATCTAGGCAAGGATAAAATATAACCTAGGACTTATTCAGATTCACTGTACTAGGTTATATTTCACCCCGTCTTAAGTTGATTTTTTTAATGGAGTGGAGAACTCTCTCCCTTAAAAAAAAAAATCCAACCAGGCAAATATGGAACATAACCTAGTAGGGAGAATCTGGAACCTATATACTCATGTTCAGATTCATATTCGTTGTACTAAATTATTTATGTCTCATTCTTATTAGGTTGGATTTGTTGGATGGAGGGAGTATGTGGCAGGGACACACTTATCAACACATCATGCATGTATATCCCCTTATGATTAAGAATATTATGTTTTCTATCATCTCCTTTTGGCAAAGATTGGCACGGCATTTCAAGAGAGTAAAAGTAAGCATAATGTAATTATTCTTCAACAACTTGCATTTCCTTCTTAGTTTTTTCCCTTGACAGCACGAATAATGCCCTTTCATAGTTCGGAGATCAAGCTTAACATAAAGGCATAAACCAATCATAGCTCATAAGTTTGGAGTTCATAAAGCCAAAGAGTAATCATGTTTCTTCTTGCAAATATTGTTAAAGCAGTTCATTTCCATTTTTAAAAGGCATCTTCAGATACCCAAACATTGATGTTCGACATGTCGCCACATATTTGATGCTCTGCAATTAAAAGGAAAAAAAAAGGCACTAATCTTGGAATCAGGTACCTGGTTTCATTACAGCGACGCATTATTTCGACATTTCAAGGGGTTAGCCAATACAGATTTCCGAAGAGTCACAGCATAGCCCAGTTCTGTCCAGAAAATAGTACAGCAACTTTTTTTCTGAATTCATATTGACCAATAAGAACAAGTGGGTAGCTTGACCATTCCATGTACAGATCTGAGATTCTTGCGTCGATTCATCATTTTGAAGGGTTCATCAGCGAGAAAGAAGATTTATTTTTTTCTGAGATCATCTTCCACAGGGACTCTTCAAGACCAGCGTAATAGCTCTCCAATTTGATCTATTACCATCGGTCAGGAAATGTTGCATTCCTCATATCAGTGGATCCCTATTGACATCTTTATACAGCAAGTACCTCGTCTTGGTTTTTCCAAGGGCAGCGTACCTGGAACAGCAAGGCAACGGTGATGAGCTGCCTACAAAAGCCAATTCCATGAATGATAAACACTATGTTGACAGATACTAACCATTGAGGCACAAACGGTGCCATCCAAATGGTGTCCCCTGATTGCACCGGGTACCTGTATTAGCAAACAGAACAAATATTCAGTAATCAGCTAAGTAGGAGACTAATATAGTCTATAATGTTACAACTGTCAGTAAAGCATATACTTAGATGTGAAGGGCGGCCTCTAAAAAAATGTTGAGGACAGTGGATGGAAGCAGAAACACATGAGTCATGACAATAGTGCCATGAAGTAGATTAGGCTCATACGCACCCATATTTTGTAAATGTCAAGCTCAATAATGAGCCGTTAATCTATATACAGTACTCAGTACACATCTTCTAGAACTTATATTAAAATAAGATTATGATATCTTCCTTAAACAGCTTGTCCCAGGAGGAAACAAGGCTGGGAACCTGGGACTCTGAAGTCTGAACGTTGCACAACCAAATAAAGCCTAAAAGGAAAAAAAAGAATAATACAAAAAAGGAAATGTTTTAGATCACATCCTTACCAGCTGTCTCCCAATCGGTATATTCCTTGTCCCTCTAAAAGCAGCAACCCATGTTGATTGTAATGAACCTCCTGTTTATAATTAACCCCCAAAAAAAAAGCAGCTTCAGAATGTGATGGGTGCATAGTGGCTAGTCACTAGTGACATGACCAAGAATGTAGTTCACACATTGCAGATTTTCTGGTGGGAGCCCCTTTGTAATTAATCTAATAGACAATTAAAATATGAACACGGTTTAAAACATGGTACTAGCACATTAGGTCTGAAATCTCCTAAGAAATATTAAAATATTCACAAACCTTCACATTAAGATATTCCCCAGGCTGAAAATCCATTATCTGCAAGTGAGAAATAAGGATATCAGAAAAAGTTTAGCTCCTTTGTAGTCTAGAAATAACCTACGAATAAGTTTAAAGACTCTGATAAGTAATGACTTTTGCAAGCTCAGGTTGCCAGTGTTTCAGAGTTTGAGTTCTTATACAACACAATAGCTTATTACACTTATTTCAATGAATAACTAGGAGAACAAATAGCTTGAATCTAATGCTTGGTTTGCCGAAATTTATGGGCACTCACATTCAGTGGAATGATGTTATACACACCAAGTTAAACAATAAACCCAAATTAATCAGACTTACATGGATATTAAAGTCATAAGGCAGAGAAGTGGGTAGCAGCTTCCTCAACTCAAATACCTATTGGAAAAAAGAGGCAAGAATTTCATGTAAGTGCTTGCAGAATATATATCAGCAAAAAACAGTACTACAATATTGTCTGTAGCAGGGGAAAAAACAGCAATTATCTATATGAATGTCACAGCAAAAACTCTACAATATTGGCAACACAAGGCCAAATGATATAAATTGAAAACTGAAACCAGTTTATTCCAACCCTCTTGAAAATGCATAGTATAAATTAAAGGCGTACCACTCAAATGGCAGGCAAACCAATTTATCTAGATGCCTAGAGATTGCAAATAATCGGTATCCACCACACAGGTCCAGAATGTACCTCTCCTGGGGTTTCAAGAAGGGGTTGCTTATCAGTTGATCCAACAATGAGATCAGGATGGTAACCCTCAATGGTTGTGTACCTAAACAAATATATTCATTAAATAATGAGAAATGTAAACTGAGAAAACTAAATCATTGACGGAAAACAATAATTGTCTGAGATGTGCAGATCATATTCACAACAAAAAGAAGACAAAGGAAAAATACTGTTCATCAACCACTTAATTGGCCTTAAGCCAATCCATTTATATTGCAAAAGTTAATCCAGTCTTAGCGACTAAAAGCCTACCAAAATGGGAAGAACTTCAGCTATTCAATAAGATCACTCAGCTAGTCAGCTAGGTCAATAATAGTGGTAAAAATTCTTAAAACAAATGATGCGCATGGATTATGCGCATTCCCTAAAAAAAATAGTGGTAAAAAACAAACAAAATTTACATGAAAGTGTGCCATTTAACCATTGTACCTCCTCTCAAAGATTACAAGGGTAGTTACTTCATCTGAGATCACAGAGTGTTTCATGTTTGCAGGAAGATAGGCATAAGAGTCCACCTGCACTCAGCAATTACACAATCAGTAAACCATATTAATGCTAGGCAACCTTTACTTCTCTAAAGCTGGTAAAAGATGATCAAGTTAAAACAATCAAGTATCAGGATCATGAAAAGAATTAAGCCATTTACTGCAGGAGTATGCAAGAAACAAGTGGGAGTTCCATTCATTCAGTTATGACAAACAATGGAAATTCTGTTGAATTTACAAACATCAGTATCCCATATTTAGTACCCTTTTATCATGTATAATATTTATATTATTGTCTTTTGACAAAATTTTAATAACATCACCCTACAAATTTAACAACTGATCATCCATAAGTTTAATTTGCATTATGTTCAAACATGTTATGCCAATATAACAACAGAAGCAGGAATAGACAAATCCGGATACACCATGTCGCAAAATCTCATTCAACTACAATGGAATTTCTGAACATGGTTGATACTATTCTTCAGGTATTCCTTAGTAATGATTAGAAATGATCTTAAAAAGCCCATGCACATTTTGTAAATCATCTTCATGCAATTAAAAATATTGTCAACCGCAGTTGGCTTAGGCTGCCTCTAAACTTTGAAAACTATGTCGTATGATCCCATCAAGTTATGTCATGGAATTAGAAATGTTTAAAGTGGATTAACACTTACATAATACGACGAACATAGAGTATAGTGAAAAAATAACTAGATATTCACAAAATAGCAGATACTAAGTTTGATCGAATCTTACCAGCAGAGTATGGGTATTCCCACTCTCCTCAGACAATAGAATGCTTCCTTGGAGTACAAAGATAAGCCTGAAAATTGTTTACCATGGACCAGTGGAAACCCATTAACTGGATGGTGAAAAACCAAGTCGAGTCAAGTATAGGATGCTGACAAATGAGCTACTTAATTGGATGTGCATCACAGTCAACATTTATTGGCTAGGACTAGGAGTGACCCAATCATTCTGTTCTTTGAAACAGTGATGATTACAAGTGTGAATGGTTGCTATTCTAACTAAGTGAGAAGCACTGAACCTTTCAACACCTTTTGGTGGTAGGGCTGATTTTGATCCATCTGCAAATAAAACATATAAAATAAGAACTCTCTATCTTGTCAACAGATTAGTTTGATAAGATTGAACACAACATGTACCGATGTACAATAATAAGAATACAAGCTTTTAATTGGGAGCTAGGCATTCTTGGCCCAATGGCCGAAATGAATCCACACACACAAAAAAAAATGTTCTTGCTAATCCAATGGTTCTGTGGCAAACAAAATATTCTGAATTCCTAGAATAGAAACCAAACTCGGACCTCAAAGAGAACTTGTTGAATATTCTGCTATCATTTACATTTCTACCTATGCTTTGTAGGTGGGAGAAATTGCATACCATGCATTTTTGCCAGGTACATTGTGAAATGTGCCCCGATAGCTGGACTAATTAAATATGCTCCTAATGTGTTGATCCTGAAAAAAAAAGAGTAAATAAATGATATTACATAGTTGTGGAAAGCAAAGAGAAAGTACAACAGAAGGTGGCCAATACCAGTCAGGCAAAGGGCTGAATACATGGCTCTCTGGTGTAATCAAAGCATGATCCCTTTTGTAAACACTACGTGTGAAGCCAGGTAAATCTGGAGATACAGAAAAGTAACAAAATTAGCAGGAACAGGAAAAGGAACGCATCCTCTTCTGAAACACAGATAGCCTACATGAGTAAACGATAAAATAGCTCAGAAGATATCCTCATTCACCGTGTAATAAGTAAAACAGAAGCATAAAACATAAATTATCTTTAAAGTGTGCTTAGCAAGGGAATACAAGATAATCTTCTCGGCCAATCCAATTCGACGAAAAGGAGTAACTGACGAGCGTGCATATCATATGCCATTCTATTTCAGTCCCACATGACTACCTACTACTACCTACCTAGTTCACAGCCTAATTCTCGACAGCAAGCCACACCATTCACAGAGAAATTCCTTCTAGAGAGTATGGTATCATCGTGAAACTGAACGAACTAAACACTATCCCGAGCGTCTCAACCAGCATCAACATCCATACTCCACAACAGTAACTCCAAATCCAGAACCAATATCACGATATTGCAGTTCTAAAAAAACACTGCAGTGACGCAATCCAGAGCACCTATTTATGCAATAATCTTTAAGATTCCATCCAACTCGCGACGTATCGCTCCGCCTCACGCTCACTCACCCTGGAGGTGCGCGGGCGCCAGAGTCGGGTTGGTGGCCTTCCAGTAGAGCGGCGGCCGCACGCCGGAGCAGCCGCCCGACGCCGCCGACGGCTCCGCCGAGCAGAACCCCTCGCCGACGCCGACGGCGCCCGCAGCGACGGAAGCGAGCGGCAGCGCGGAGGCAACGACGAGGAGGAGGAGCCGGGGGAGCATCATCTTCTCGCCCGGCGCAGGTGGAGGAAGCAGGCGCGCGGCGTGCTCGCGGTGGCGGGTTTTTTTTTTTTTTGGGGGGGATTTGCGGGGGAGAGGAGAGAGAGAGAGTGGAGTGGATGTGAGGCGGCGGCGGCGGCACACTCGTGGACGGTGGTTGGTAGGTGGGCCCCACTTGGTGACTCGGATGCCATTGCCCACCTGCCCGGCTCCCCCACCACCTCTGTTCTCTCCATTCACGATTGATCATTCACACTTGTATAAAAGAATCTGGATTTTCATTTGATAGCCCGTTGAGTCTTGTCGGATTAGTCGTTTTAGTTCGCACACGAAATTAATTAACCACCACGTGGACGTTTCATGAGTACTAAACCAAATCCTAGATTTAAATCTGGACATAATATATATTCAAATTTAAACACATGATTAAGTTTTTTATGGGACGGAGGGAGTACTTCGTAAAAGCCCGTTGCATATGTATGCACGAGAAAGTAATCATATTTGCAATTGACTATAGATCATACCGATAAGTCTTCTATCACTCATTTTCTAATCCACCATGTGCAGCAACGCATCCACGACAAACTCTTCTTTACCATCGCTCCTGTCTGCTCACCGTGATAATTTACAGAGTAGATCATCTGTTACTTTCGTTGTTCGGTGGTAGAGGCAGCCAGGTAGGGAGGAAAAGAATTGAAAACTTAAGTCCTTTCTTCAACCAAGTGCTATTTAAATAGGGCTATTTGATCTGCTCTTTCAATTTTGTTTTGGTTTAGGTTGCATGGGCAATGGCTAATTACTAATTTTCATCTTTAGTAGGCAAAAATAGCTGCAAGGCATAGTAAAACAGTTAAATTTCGCGTGTGATCACAAGCGCTATGGGTAAGAAGCATACGATCAAGGATGTGGCAACAACAATTTGGTTGTGTTGGTGCCAAAGCGTTGCCACAGGTGTGTTGGCCTAGAGTACTAGATTAGTAGGAATATTATAAGCGTGTTTGGTCTTGGTGCGAAGCCAGAATATGACCATCAAACTTGAATGAAGAGAGTATTATGCTCTTTTCTAGAGGCTAGAGTAGGAAGCTAGGAACGCGGGATTAACGAAACCCGATCGAAAATCACTCCTGAATGATTTTGTTGATTTCCGTAAGATCATTTGAAAACCGGTAAAATATAGATAGAGTAAAATTTTGTTAAACTAGCAAAACAACTGTGTTTTGCAGTGGACAAAAATGTATTATACATGTGCTAACATTGTTTGGAACAATTAATTGTATGGCTTTTGAAACAATTTCATCCTTGTATATGTCTTTGCATGAAACTTAAATAGAGATGAAAAAAAGATATTAACAATATGTGAAAGACTTTTGTAATATTGAAGTACACAAAGGTAGTTGGTAAAGAAAATATAATAGAGTTGGTGGGCACCACCATTGCTTTCTTTTAAATGCGTATAGAAATCTAAGCTAAAGAAAAGGCAAGGGTTCTGTATGAACCGTAGTATTCATATTGGAGTAGCATATTAGCGACACACAAAACGAGGTGACTCACTAGCGTATGATTAATCGAGTATTAATTATTATAAAGTTGAAAAATAGATTTATTTGACCTTTTCAGAATCTTCCATATAGAATTTTTTTTTGCGCAAAACACACCATTTAGCAGTTCGGGAAGCATGCTAACGGAAAACGCCTAAATTGTAGTTTGGAGTTGTAGAAAAGAACGCATAACAACTTGATGATGTGTTTGAAGTATTTTTAAATTTTAACTACTTTACCAAGTAGTTCGTCAAGTCTAATTATCCCCAAATCTAAATTACTGTAAGATTGAACACAAGTAACCAAACTTACCAAAGGGGGTGAATTACGTCAGGGAAAGTAAAAAAATTGAACTTTAATAGATCAAAACACATCCCAGCCTTGAAAGCCAATGGAACACACTTTTGACAGTCTGACCGGACCTGTATGGGACTTAGAGCTAGTCTGATTGAAGTACAATTATTGGTATGACAGTCCGACAAAAACAACTTGACAACGCTTCTATAAAAACTCGATATTTCTTAAACTAACCATTGAATCGAGTTGCAAACTTGTCAAAATAAATCAGTGTTCGCCTAGACCATGGTCTAGACTGTCTAGACCGCGTCTAGATGTGAGACCGCAGGTTTTCGTCCCGTTTAGGGCCTAAACTGTGCCCTAGACCATTTTTTTTGTCTATAGGGTCAAATCGTCTAGTTCAAGTAATTAGATCATGCTGAGCCAAGTCTAGACAAAAAATGACGTGTAGAACCGTGATTAGAAGAAAGAAGGTATTATGTAATAAAACGTTAAAAATGATGAAACCTGAGGGAGTAGTATGGTTAGAAGAAAGAAGAGGGTTCCTATAAGGGGGTGTTTAGATTTAGGGGGTAAAGTTTTGACATATCACATCAAGTATTATATAGGATGTGTTTTATGGGGTGTTCGGGTACTAATAAAAAAACTAGTTACAGTATCCGTCAGTAAACTACGAGACGAATTTATTAAACCTAATTAATCCGTTATTAGCACATGTTTATTGTAGCACCACATTGTCAAATCATGGCGCAATTAGAATTAAAAGATCCGTCTTACAAAATAGTCGCAATCTGTGTAATTAGTTATTTTTAGCATAAATTTAATATTTTATGCAAGTGTTAAACATTCGATGTGACTAGGGTGTAAAATCTTGGGTGGGATGTAAATAGGCCGAGGTTATCCATACCTTTCCCATGATCCCATCTCTTGCACTAGTAGTAGGCGCCTAGTAGTACATTCCGTTCCGTGCAAATGTGCAGGTGCAAAGCCGTCCGTCGCACGCACGACGCGTCACCCGCCCCAGTGCCCACCCGTAACCACCTCCAATCTTATTATTATCATCGCTTAATAATCCAACCCCGCGGGAAGTCGCGACACGAGCCAGCAGCGGCGGGAGGAAGCACGACGACGACGCGAGCCACCGAAGCGGAGGAATCCCAGGCGGGGCCCACCCCGCCGCGGCGCCGGCCATGCCGTTCCTCTCGACGCCGTCGTTCGACCTCTCCGCCGGCGCCGAGCCCACCCTCGGCCCGCGCTCTCCCCCTCCTCCCCCTGACGCCGTTCACCCGCCGACCCCGCAGCAGGCCGCGCCGGCGTCGGAGGCGGCGGCGCGGAGGCTGCGGGAGGCGGAGGAGCGGCTGCGGGAGGCCATCCAGGAGCTCCACCGCCACCAGCACGGGGGAGGAGGGGATGGGGATGGGGACGGGAAGGGGGTGGATGGAGATGAGGAGGGCGGCGGTGGTGGTGGTGGTGGGTGGGGTTGCGGGCACGAGGGGGAGTCGTGCGCGGCGCACGCGGCGGGGAACCTGTGCCAGAGCTTCCTGCTCTCCTACGGCGTCCGGGTCGGCATCGGCATCCTCCTCCGCGCCTTCAAGCTCGCCCGCCGCAGATCCTACTCCTCCCTCCTCGACCTCAAGGTCCTCCTTGCTCCTCTCCTCCTACCTGAATTTGCAAATTTCTTTCGGTTAGTGCTCAACTGCGCCCCATATTAGATTAGTTTAGTTTGGACGGAATTATTCGGAGAATTTGGCCGGGAACTGGGATTCGGCTGTGCGAATTTACTTCATCTTGTTTCGGTTGGCTAATTGGAGTGGAATTGGGGGTTTTGGTGCTTAACTGTTGGAGCTTGGACACACGCACATTAGGGCGTGCAAATGTGTTAGCAAAGGACAGGGTCACATATTATGCTGGTCTTGATTGTGATGTTACATCTATTGCTCTATGTTCATTTACTTGAATAGTTAGTGGTGAACTGGTAATGAGCTGGTACTAGTAGTACTTGTGTAGGACCAGCTGGTAGTGTTTGAAGCACATCAAATAACCTGTTGGAGGGATGTTTCTTGCTATGCATTAAATGGTTCGATCCCTGTTGTGAGGCTATCCAGTATGATTTTTTTTTCTTAAAAAAAGTTTTGAACCTTTTGTTAATAATGTTTGAAAAATAACCTCTGCCACACCGAGATAATAGCATATGGTGTAGCATGTGTTTTCACTGTTTTGCCTTGCCATCAGCCGTGACATGGCCGAAAGGTTCATTTAAAACAAAATACTGGATGGTTTATTTTTAAAATATTACTAAGAAAAGGTTAAAAAATAAAATAATTGGTCCAGTTCCCAAACTTCCCTTTCTGACAAATATTTACTGTTCTACTACTAGTATACTACAAAGTTCAAATAAGATGTCATTGATATAACTTTCTTTTCTAATTTGCAGCAACTGGTTTCGGAGAAAGATCTAATAGTGAGGGAGGAAGCTTGCCGGGTAGGATTACTTTTTGGAGGATTCACTGGATCATATCATGCACTTCGATGTTTCCTTCGGAGATTTCGGAAAAAGGAAACACCATTTAATGCGTAAGTAACTCTATGCTTATGCTGTTTTGTGTCTATTTATCTTGTCTGATTCACTACAACACATCTGCAACGCATGTGTACCTCTAACCAGTTCTTGAATCTGAGATGGTCCCTAAAAAGTAGATAGGTCCAAAGCATGTTAATTTTTTATTATAAGATTACCTCGAATAATGTTCATGGACTCAACTGAAGGCGTGATGGAGCAGAATATTAGCAGGTTCGGTGGCAGGCTTGGCGATAGTAGCGCTAGATGATTCAAGTAGGAGGCGCACCCTTTCTCTATATCTTCTGGCAAGGCTTGCCCAGGTCACCAACTGCTAAACTGTTGCATTTTATATGGTGAAGATGCATGTATGGCCCTTTTCCTCATGTATTGATGCTTGGTTTTTACAGTGTGCATATAATTCTGCAAAGTCTAAGAACAGATTTCACTTTTGGGGAAGCCATTGGAGGCATGGAGATGCATTACTTTTTTCACTTGCGTCTGCCCAGGTAACAAGATGAAGTTGACCGATTTGCTTTGGGATTATTATCCTGTTATGGAGATAAGATCTATATAATCATATGAAATATCCTTCCAGGTTATGTATTCTTTCGTTATGAGGCCTGAAAGCTTACCTAAATCGTACCAAGACTTCATCCAAAAGACTGGACCAGTTGCGGAACCTGTTTACAAGGCTGTAAGAGATTGCTGCAGAGGTGGTCATGTGGATCTCATTGGTCTCTCAGCCTATTTAGCTAACAAGAAGAATTCAAATTTGATAAATTTAACAAAAAGTCCACCCATTATTCCATGTTCTGTGATACATCCTGACAGAGCATCGTGCTTGGCTCATAATGTCAGTGTCTCTTCATCAACGTTCAAGAAAACATTCCCTCTGTATTTCTCATTGACATTTGTCCCATTTGTTGTTCTACGCCTTCAAAAGGTAACTTTCTAATCTTGTTTCCCACTTATGCTATTGCTTGATCGAAATATTTTTCTTTCAAATAAAATTTGATGCCTCAAGTATAAGCCAATTGTACAAGCCTTCAAATTATAGCACATCTCTATCTTTGTACTCTTCATGCACAGTGCACAGACACTTTAATTTTGCTTAATGCAAAATGCATGCATTGCTTTTTAGTTATATATGTTGCCAGTGAAACAAAATATTGAGCAACATCCCGAGCACTCAACAAGATTAGCACAATGAATCTTCTTACTTTTTCATTATCCTGTAGTTCATACATATCCATCTTCTATGTTAATTACCTAATGATGGAATCTCTGTATCAAAAATATCAGTTCTTGGAATCACCAGCTGCAACTTGTTGGCGAGCTCTTGTGGGTGCAGTTCGCTCTACGACCTTTTTGTCTGCTTTTGTTACATTCTTCCAGGTAATTGTCGAGGACAGTCCTTAACAAATACTAGTAAATGTTTCATGATCATAATATCCTTCTGGTTTCATTGCTAGGCTGCCATCTGTTTGCATCGTAAAGTTGCAACCAAAGACCACAAGTTTGTGTACTGGTTTGCTGGTCTGATGTCTGGTCTTTCTATTCTTTTGGAAAAGAAAGCCAGAAGAGCTGAGCTAGCTCTCTATGTACTTCCCCGCGCAGGGGATTCTTTGTGGTATATATTAATCAACCGCCATCTGCTCCCAAATATTAAAAACGCTGAGGTATTTTTCTTCATTGTTCAGTTTGTTTTTCTACTTTGGACAAAAACTACATGAGGATTACTTGCAATACTCTAGCTTATTTCAAAGTAATCTGGTGTCGAAGAGCAGTGTAAACCAACATTAGTCCTAAGTTCTTAATTCTACACAATTTGCCTATTGCCTTGATAACTGGAAGGGATCATGTTTGAAGTCAGTGTGCCCCTTGGTTAGTAGATGATCATATTTTTCAGATCCGCTGACAGTTACCCGGCAAACATTGCAGGTGGCTCTTTTCTGCATGTGCATGGGGGGAATCATGTATTTCCTGGAGTATGAGCCAGATACCATGGCTCCATTCCTCAGAGGACTCATCAGACGGTTCCTGGCAAGCAAAATAAGCAACCCGAGCCCACCGCCAAATCCCAATGCCTCCTACTCCTACCTTCAGAAGCTGAACGTGCTGGAGCAACCAAGAACACAGCAGGGCCCAGAGAATGGCCTGACATCATCAGAGAAGTACAACCTGGAAGCAATTCCCGGACTTTGAGTAGAGACGTCGCATTCGTGGCAGTTTGAGCTTTCTTTGCTTGTACACTTTGAAAACCAACAAATCCTAACCGTAAAGCATCCAATATGTCAGGATTTAGCATCCTTTTGCACGGCTGGTGTGGTGTTAATATCTATACACAAGGAGTATATATAGTGTTCTATTGTGTCCCTTGCAGAAGAAAAGGTTAAATAGAGCGCACCAATTTGTTGGGTGCGGAATGATTAGAAGTTCTTGAATTGCTCTTATCTAGGCGTTTTTGTGCATGTTGAGTGTAAGATACTCGCAACAAAAGGAGCTATCGTAATAAACACAGGCATTCGTTGCTAATTTGCTCTCGATAGACATCTAAAACAGCACAAACGATGTGAGATAATACTCAGCGTCTAAGTTTGTACAATTGATAAATCATTTACAATCGACAGTGCAGTTCACGAAAACACGGTCTCTACATCAGAACTCAATATCACAGTTACCATCTGGCGCAATATCTCGAAACGTTGCAATTGCCAAACCGGATAACATTCCAGAAAACAAGAACCAAGGTCTCTCCAAGGTCGCGAGGGTTGTTTGTGTTGGGTAAAACTGTTTTTTTATATTATTATTTTTGACACGGGGGTAAAACTGGATATCAGTACTACACCAAAACATAATCTTGGACAAAAACTGGATTATCGTCCAAAGCACTTCGAACAGCTTTTATATTAGTATCATAGTGCATTCGAACTGTGCCTCCAAGACTTGCGCGAATCGTAGTAGAAAACCGCAGCAACAATATTATCACTGTCTAAGTTGACTGGCAAACATATAATATACTGTAACATTTAAGTCACAGTTACTGGCAACTTGGAGTGACTTCCGATATCACAATTCTGGAGTTATGAGCCACTTGTCAGCCTGAAATTACATTGCAAACTAAGGTCCTTTTTGTTTGTTTTATCTCATTATTAATTTGGCTGTTCTAAAGCCTAAGCCGAAACAAAGGGCCTAATGCATTGACTTGCAGGGGCAAGGGCAAGGCCGTCGCTGATCTTTCAAGATATCGTGGAGGCATCGTACTACCTTGGCCATGGTTGGCCTTTCTGTAACCTCGGGTGCAACACACCACGAAGCTAGTTCCTTAATTTCCTCGAGATGATGGCATATAGCAAATACGCTATCAAAATATTTAATTACCGTATTTATGTCGTGCATTTGAATCTTGTTTCCTGTGAAGAGCTCCACAAGAACCCCTCCAAAACCATACACATCGTGTTCCTTAGTCATGAGCCCAGTTATTAGGAAGTGTGGATCCTTGTAATGTATGTTCTCTGTTAGAAATCTTGCATACTGAGCCTTGTCCAAGGAAAGGAGCTTTGTTGTTCCAAAACCAGCAATCTTTGCCGGAAATGTACTAGTTCTAGGCATTTCGAGCTTAGATCCAGAAAAAACATCCACTATTACATTGGCAGTTCTGACATCGCCATGAACCATGTCAAATGAGTGAAGGTGAGCAAGGCCTTCTGCAGCATCAGTAGCAATTTGTAGACGTACATAGGAAGTGAAAGGATGTTCAATACTCTGCCACGCCTTACCAAAAAGAGCGTCATGCAAGCCCATCTCACCATACTCATAGACTAATACTGGGGCATCGACATGATCTAGGCAGCAGCCGAAAAGCTTGGCAACATTCCAATGCTTAATTCTAGATTGCATGATCATCTCATAAAAAAATGTCTGTTTCCAATCCTCATCAACTTCCACAGACATCTTTATCACAATCAATGGAGTGTTTTTCAAACGTCCCATGTAAACCTTGCCCATGGCAACATCACTTTTTCCTGAAAATGTCTCTGAGGTTGATTCCTGTTCTGGGTCACCTATGATGGAATCTATGTCGCTTTTGTAACAAATCTTTCAAAGCCAGATCCACGCAACATGACCTTTATTTCCCTTAATGTCATGATCCTTCTCTCTCTCAACTCTGCAAGCCTTCTCTCCTGTCTCAATATCTCTGACCTTTTGATACTCCAAAGCTGTTTCAAAACTTCTTTCATTTGCGGCCGATCTTCTATTTCAGACTTTAAACAATCAAGTGCAAGATTTGCAATTTCCTCTATAAAGTCTATATTCTCATCGGCTGCAATTTCCTTGTCAAATAGTTCATGTCTTTTATCTCTACTTGAGCGAGCAAACATTCCCGCTAGATTTCTGCTCTGGTCATCAATCCCTTTCTTTCTGGTGATGAGCTCCAAAAGAACAACCCCAAAACTGTAGACATCACATTTTGGGCTTAGTCGTCCAGTCTCACAGTACACTGGATCCATGTATCCTTTACTTCCTATAACAAAGCCCGTGTGTTCATCATTGTCCATACAGAGAAGCCTAGATATTCCAAAGTCACATAGCTTCGCCACATGCTTGTCACCTAGAAGTATGTTTGATGGTTTGATGTCTCCATGAAGGATTGGATGATTTTGGGAGCAATGCATATATACAAGTGCTTCTGCTACATCCAATGCAATCTGGAAGCGTGTCTCTAATGAGACAGGAAGCTGGCCACTCTTCCCATGCAGAAGTTCAGAAAGGTTCCCATTGGGGACAAACTCAGTGACCAGCATTGGAGCATCTGCCTCCACACAACAACCCAATAACCTAACAATGTTCCTATGGCTACACTGGGACTGTATGATCGCTTCTTTTGTGAACTCCTTTTCCTGTGTTCTCCAATTATATTGTTTCACTGCCACTGAACGGCCATTATCAAGTTTTCCCTTGTACACCACAGAAAAACCTCCTTTTCCCAGGACAGTGCCGTAGTTGTTTGTGATGTGCTTCATCTGCCTTCTTGTGAAGCACCTAACATTTGGATCAATATCTGCTTTTGCCAATACTTCATTTGCAGTATCCCTAAAAGATTGTGAAAGTTTCTCATACCAGTCTCCCATATGAGTGGCACAGAATATGTTGTTATATTGTGCCTGCAGATTCATGAAGATGGTAGATTAGTCAAAGCAACATATTCATTGTTTTTCTGTAATTTATAGTGTGGAGAGCCAATAAAACGCATGGAATACTTTTCCGAGGAGATCATGTGTACGATTTCCAGTTTACTCTGAATTTTATCGAAAATAGTAGTTGAAAGCCCTACTGGAGCAACAACAATTCAATGCTATTTTGAAGATACAAATGTGTCAAGACAGCTAATCTTAGCATGTTGTCTCAAAAATATACTATATGTTAGAAATTATTTATGGCAGTACAGATCTAAAAAAATCCTTATATATATGAAAGAATGATGGCCTTGTATGCATAAACATTCCTCTCACAGTTGGCCTCTGTTTTAAGATCATAGTACCTTTTTTTCATTCTTCTCCTAATCATTATACGTATATGCATGGCAAATATTTTTCACGTTCTCTTAAACCAAATTTTATTGCTTTTGAAAATATGTGAGAATGGTTCCGAAACAGCACTGGACATCAAGATGAAGGAAAAGAAATGATGTGGGTCCAGGATGAAGGGTGACAGGGGATTTTGTTTTCATCTAATAGTCAAAATTATTGGGTCCACCACTTTATATAAGGCCATCCATTTAGCGTAGCTTCATGTGCCCCCTCCCCCAAAAAAATCTTTCAATTAATGAACAAGATCAACCTATATTAGTCTTAGCTACTTACAGAAAAAAGCAATTGGATTCTTTCTAAAAAGAAAAGTTGACTCATGAGGTGGAACCGGTGGATCTCAGATTTTTTCTATCCTTCCTTTAGTTTTGATGTGCTAATTCTAAAGAAAGAGAGAGAGTTGAGGAGAAGATAGCCCCAAAATATTTTTGTACAAGGGAGGATTCGAATGTGGGCGGGCTAGTGTTGGAGTTGTTCCAAATTCACTTCAAGATATTGGCCGGGCTTCTGACGAAGCGGAGCGGAGGCCCAAGCCGGAGGCTTGGGCCGGAGCGTAGCGGAGTCTGAAGCCCGGCCCATCCGGCCGCGCCCCATGCACACACGGGGGGGTGCGGGGGGGCGGAGCCCCCCCGCGGTACGGTACGGTATATATGCCCTTTGCTAGGGTTTCGTGGAGACTTGATTCTCTTGTAAGCCGCCATAGGCGTGTAACCCAAAACTCTTGAGATAGTGAGATTGTTGCTGGCTGGTGCCCGTGGTTTTTTCCCCTTTCGCATTAAAGGGGTTTTCCACGTTAAATCGTGTGTCTCCGCTGTGATTGTTTTTCGTTTACTTTGTATTTCTATACGTCGTTCATAACAGGCTAGCACACCACCCGTGTTGCTAGCCACTAGACCCCAAGAGTCTCCTCAATGTGCTAGTTCTGAATAATGAATTAGAGTTTTTTTACGGTCCTTTGTTCCTCCTGGTACGTACCTAGTATCTCGTATGTCCATTAAGCTGGATGCAAAGACCCAGGTACTTGCCGGTACAGCTTCTAACAGGAAGTCACAGGTGGAGGGTATAACCACACAAAGGCTAAAAAGGTAACTTCATGTAAAGAATAGATCAAGGATTTGACTACATGGAAAGAGATTGCGGCGTTGATAGACAAGCGTGCTGTTCATCGTAAGCCCTCTCCAGTCTCCAGTATTGTTTCACATCTTTTCCAACAGTGCCCTTGTTGATTGAACGGTTGGATCTCATTTCATACTTGGTGGTACCAGTATGGCAGTAGCTAGAGGTACCACCTTCTGGAGCATAACAAACCTCAATGAATTAAGATACTAGTCTGTTGGTAGTAACAAGTTTGGAGAAGATGTAGTCTTCGAATAGCATCAGTTCTCTTTCAAGTTTCAACAACCTGTTCAACTTCAAGATTAAGCGTGTCCTAAAGCTACAGCCGCACACACATTGGACATTGTACATTTGTACTCTGTCGTGTTTTTGCAAAACAAATGGTGGGGAAATTGAACTGAAATCGAACCCTCGCAACCTGGAGTGACTGTGTGAATTTCCATGCGCATGTGCTACATCTTAAATCCTTGTAATGCGCCATTCCATTATGTAAGAAGAAGAAGCATATGATCTAGTTCCTAAAGAAATTAACATGATCTCGCTCTTCTGTCATGCAAAATGTGCAAATAAATCAAAAATCAAGCTGCAACAAGAAGGTAGAAGAGAGTGAAATAGCCTGTGCACCTGTAGCTGTAGCTTAGTACTTCACGGACAGTCGGTTCGCCAGGATTGAAGAAACCGTGTTCTTGAAGAAGAGAACCAGGCAGATCTGATGACGGGAGAAAGAGTGGGCGGACAAAGAAGTAGGGCGCACGTGGTGGTTGGGGGGAGCCGACTAGTCAACCATCAGGTCAACCCAAAGCATTTCCCTTTCTAAAAAAATATATTGAAAAATCAACATCTGCAGCTTTCTGAGGGCTGAGGCTTGGCCGTACATTTTTTTTTCCAGGAAGCCGCAATCGGCGGCGGGAGGGAGCAGGGCCGCTCCGGCCGCCGGCGGCCGCTCGGGGCCGTCGCGCTGGTGCGACCTTCCTGCCTGGCTTGTCGATGCGCCCTCGAACGGCACGTGTCCCGGGGGCAAGCAATCTCCGACGCGCGGGGACGAGGGAGAGAAAATGGGCATTTAGCCACTTTTAAAACACGGTTTTGCTATAATACTATTCTGAAAATGCGTTTCGCTAAAATGCCAATATGAAATACGCACTCACCACCACTTTGTCATTTTGGCCATTTTGTGCATTTTCGAAATCATTTTCTCTCCTCCACCGGATGATGAGATGAAATTGCCCTTCCTCGTGAGCGCGGCGAGCAGGGGACAAAACACCATGGCCTCGCCGGCGTATTGAGTGGCGGCAGTGGCGGCAGCTATGGTCTTCTCCCAACTCCGTCGCCCCATCTCACTCTCCACCCTACTGCTGACCACATCGAGAGAACAAGCATGGGCTGCCTCTTTGGTCTCAATCCCATCGCCGGACGAGATGAAGACGATGATCATATTCACCACCAAGCCACGGTCGTCCTTGTCCCTTTTGCGTTCCATACTTAACTCATCTTGCCGAACAAACTTTCTTTTGACGCCATCGCGTTTGATCCATTGTAGCAACGGGAACACCGCCGTGCCATCGTCATGCTGGAGCACGCTCTGAAGTGCCGCCGCTTCGGCAGCGTCGATGTCCGGTTCCTCATCCATCCTGGAGCAAGCCACCGCGCCATCAGCTCCTCCTTGAGGTCCTCTTTAAAACCCCTCAAGAACCGAGAAGATTGGAGCATCAAGGAGGGAGATCGACATTGTCTTCTCCAACTTTGGCTGCCGGCGTCAATCTTCGATTCCCTCCGCTCCGGTGACCCCCTCGTTGATTCTTTGCGCATGCACCATCCCTGGGACCTAACCAACCTCATGGATGCACATGCATGGCTTCACATCGAATGGAATGAGTTGACGTCGTCTCGCCGAAGCTCGGAGCCGCCACTGAGACGTTTTCTTGATCGCTGCCATCAACCAAGCCCCATGGCCTTTGCTCGGCCTCGCCCTGTCCAACACCGTCGTCGCCAACTTGTTCCACCGCATCCCCGACAGGTCGACGCCCTTGTCAGCAACGACGATGACCACCTCGCTGCGCTCGACCATCTCCACCGGCGGCACAAAACGAAGAAGGAGAGAAAGAAAGAGAAGAGATGGACCTTCCATTGGCCCCAAGGGCATTTATGTCTAATCACCATAAAGAAGAGGCAAAATGATTTTGGAATTAAGAGAAAATGAGAAAATGGCAATCCGGCGAGTTGTGTGGCCTTGATATTGGCATTTTATCGGATCACGTTTTAAAGATGGCATTCTAGCGAAACCGTGTTTTGAAGATGGCTAAATGTCCATTTTCTCGATGAGGGATCCCTCGCCCACTTCGGTAATGATGGGCAACAGACCGCCTGATCCGATCCCCGGCCGGCCGCCGGCGGCTGCTTCAGAGAGATCCCCCGAGGCATGCGCGTGCTGGCAGGATCACAGCCGCAACTGGCGCTCGCCCGCGCCGCAGCCACAATCACCCGACGACCGCCATTGCTGCCTTTGAGGTAAAGGCAAAACCTTGTTTACCCTCGCCGCTCTCCTCTCCCAATTTCGGTTTTTGCGCAGATGAAAGCTTTATGCACAGTATAGTGTCAAACTTAAAATTTTGACTAAACGACTTATCATACTCTTTTTATATTAGAAGAAGACAAGGATGGTAGCAGTGAATCTGTCACCACTCACCAAGTATAGTTGTTTTTTTTATTTACCACCTACTTTATCATATTTTCTACCAACTATCCATGTACTTTAATGTTATAAAATAATTCCTCTAAATATATGATTCTATCATATTTCACCTGTACAATATAGCACACATGGGTACAAAATTATCCCAAAAATATCACTATTAATTTGTTTTAATCTATTGCAAAGCAGGAGTATTTGGCTAGTAATATGAAATAGAGGGAGTAACTTACTCCGTTGCATTGTAGGTTCTTTTTATCATCACTTCATTTAGTTCGACTCCGTTGTTGTATGTTTTTTATGAACGGCGTATATGTCATGCTCACCTAGTTAAATGTCATGGAGTGCTTGCTACATGTAACTCAACATGCCTGTAATTTTATATGGCAGCACAAAGCAAATAAGATTGAGAGAGTGCATTTTAGTTAGTCTTAGGAATATAATGGTTAATTTTACTGTTATAGCTTATTTAGTGCTACTGTCGATCATTTCTACAAGGGTTTATGTTGAGTGTACAAGGCTTATTTGGTTCCACCTTTTGAGCCTTAGACTGATCGAACTGTTAAAACGGGAAGTTACCACGTCAACGAGATGGCTCTCAGTGTTCGTTGAGGTGTAGTTACACAATTTATCATGTTTCCCTACCTTTCGAACTTACATTAATTTTTAGTTTATCCAAATTATTTTTTTCCTCGAGTATCATAAATCGACAATCATACATGAGAGTATTCAATAATTATTGGTGGACTAAATTTGTTTTTTGATGTCATGGTCGGCATCACGTATGAGCGCAGACAGCGTGCGGCGAAGAAGGACTAGCAGCGTGTCGGATCAGAAACAGTACCGCGCGAATTGCTAGAGATTGGTTTAAGTTGTTTTGCTGTTTTGTTATCCCTTTGTTTTAGCAAGATTAGTTCAATGTAAGGCTATTTAGAGCCACAAATTTATGGTTAATCTAAGCAAGATTCAATCACACTTCTCATCCCATTTTCTCTGCTCCCTTCCTCTGTTCTTCCCACTTGCCGTCACGGGCAGGGTAAAGTGGTTGCCGAAGCCTCGCCCTCCAGTGACCCATTCATATCCAATCCGTTCCCTTGCCGGTGCTCGTAACAACTTGGTATCAGAGACCATGGCACCAGATCAATCCTCCTCCTCCACGCAGCCATCACCAGATCAATCCTCCTCCACGCAGCCATCCACTGATGCCGACGCACTGGCAAAGCTTCAGGAATCCATGGCGACGGTGTTGAGCGGCATTTCGCTTTTGGCCTCCAAAAGTGACCTCGCCGATCTCAGTCGTTCTGTCGCTGTCGCGACCTCCCGCATCACCGCCTTGGAGTAGTCCTCCTCCACTTCCTCTGGTCCACGTCTGACCGGCGGTGGCCTCCTTAAATCACCACCACCACCACCCCCCCACCACCTCCCCCACCACCCCCACCACCACCTCCGCCGCCACATGCTAGACACGGCGCACAGCACGACGCCAACTCCGGCAACGCAGTTCCTCGCTTTTACAAGCTCGAATTTCCAAAGTTCGATGGCTCTGACGATCATCTCAATTGGCTTAATCACTGTGAACAGTTCTTTCATGCACAGCGTTCGCCGGATGGGGATCGCGTTTGGTTGGCCACATACCATCTCACTGGTGCCGCTCAGGAGTGGTATTTCCACTACGAGCAACACAAAGGGCCGCCTGATTGGGACACGTTCAAGGAGCTATGCTACACCCAATATGGTCCACCAATCCGCAACAACCCGCTGGGTGAACTCAAGCGCCTCTCACAGTCGACCACGGTGGCCACCTACCAGCAGCGCTTCCTCGCCTTGTCCAGCCGTGTGACGGATCTCCTCACCGAACGGCAGCAAGTCCAACTGTTCACGGCGGGCCTCCGTGATGACATCTGCATCGACGTGGAGCTCCATCAGCCTGAAGATCTTCGGGAAGCCATGGGGTTGGCACGTGCATATGAACACAAAGCCAACTTCAGCCCATCGCGCACTATCAGCAAGCAGTTCGCGCGCACGGCTGCGTCATCTCCGGCCGCTAGCGCCTCCCCGGCTCCGACGGCAGTGGCCGCCGTGCCCGATGTGAACTCTCGCCAGTTTCGTCATCTGACACCGGCGGAACTCGCAGAGCACCGCAAACAAGGGCTCTGTTACAACTGTGACAAGAAATTTGTCCGCGGCCACCGGTGCGCACGGCTCTCCTACATCGAGTACGACGACACGGCGGATGATCCCGATGACGACTCGGCCGACAAAGATGAGGACACCGAGCCACACATATCGCTGAACGCGATCTCGGGTGTTGATGGCGCCAACACAATGCGCTTGGCAACCTACCTCGCGGATGAAGAGGTGGTGGCCCTCGTCGACTCCGGCTCCACCCACAACTTCATCCACGCTGACCTTGCGTTCCACCTCGGCATTCCGCTGTCGCCGGTCCGCGATGGTGTCCGTGTGGTGGTGGCAAACGGAGATCGCCTCACCAGCCCCGGCATTGCGCATGGCCTGCACCTGCGTGTTGCCGACGAGGTATTCGACGTCGACTGCTACGCGCTCCACCTTGGATGCGTCGACATCATCCTGGGCACACAGTGGCTACGCACTCTCAGACCGATACTGTGGGACTTCGTCAACATGCGGATGGCAATTTGTCGCGGCTGCCGGGAGGTCACGCTATACGGCGTCCTCGACGAACGCCCCGCGTCCACATGCGCTGCGATCCACACTGACGATCTCCTTCCGTCCCTATTGGCGGAATTCGACGACCTCTTCGCGCTTCCAACCGGTTTGCCGCCGGCCCGGACCGTCGACCACCGCATTCACCTCAAGACTGGTGTGTCCCCTGTCGCGGTTCGGCCGTACCGCTATCCCCAGCTACAGAAGGACGAGCTGGAGAAGCAATGTGCTGAGATGCTGGCCCAGGGCATCATCCGTCCCAGCACATCCCCGTTCTCGTCGCAGTCCTACTCGTCCGCAAGCACGACGGTTCTTGGCGCTTCTGCGTGGACTACTGCGCGCTCAACACGGTCACCGCCAAGGACAAATTTCCCATTCCAGTCGTCGACGAGTTACTTGACGAGCTCCACGGCGCGCCCTTCTTCTCCAAGTTGGACCTTCGTTCGGGGTACCATCAAGTCCTCATGCACGCCGATGATGTCCACAAGACGGTGTTCCGCACTCACCAGGGCCACTTCAAGTTCTTGGTCATGCCATTCGGCCTGACGAACGAACCTGCGACGTTCCAGGCCCTGATGAACACTGTCCTCACGCCGTTCTTACGAAGGTTCGTCCTTGTGTTTTTCGACGACATTCTAATTTACAGCAGGACATGGGCCGAACACCTTCAGCACATCCGGACAGTGCTCACCGTCGTCTGCGCCAACAACCTTGTCCTCAAGTGCTCGAAGTGCCACTTCGGTGAACACCAGATCAGCTACTTGGGTCACGTCGTCTCTACCGACGGAGTGGCCATGGATGCGCAGAAGGTTTGCGCGGTGGCCGACTGGCCGCATCCGCGTTCGCGCCGTACGCGGGTTTCTCGGCCTCGTCGGGTACTACCGCAAGTTCATCCGTAACTACGGCACGATCGCGGCTCTTCTGACGGCCCTCCTCAAGCGCGACGCATTCCAGTGGACGCCGGATGCAGCCCGCGCCTTCACCGAGCTCAAGCAGGCCCTATCGACGCGCCCGTACTGCAACTGCCGGACTTCGCCCTGTCGTTCGTCATCAAATGCGACGCGTCGGGGTCCGGCATCGGCGCCGTTCTGCACCAGGGGGCGGGTCCGCTCGCTTTCTTCAGCCGGGCACTCGCGCCACGCCACGCCGGACTCGCCGCCTACGAGCGGGAACTGATCGGCCTCGTCCAAGCGATCCGCCATTGGTGCGCGTACCTGTGGGGGAGGGCGTTCCTCGTCCGCACCGACCACTACAGCTTGAAATTTCTCCTGGATCAGCGCCTCTCGACAATTCCACAACATCGATGGGTAAGCAAGTTGATTGGCTTTGATTTCACTGTGGAATATCGCCCAGGGCGCACGAACGTTGTGGCCGACGCCCTGTCGCGTCGCATAGAAGACGCCGAACTCGCCGCCCTGGCGCTCTCCGGCCCAACATTC